GTTCGCTATTCGCTAGACCCAGAAAACCCCACAAAATCATGCAAATCCAGGGGCTCGGGTCTTCGTGTTCACTTTAAGAACACTCGTGAAACTGCCCAGGCCATCAGCGCATGCAGATTCGAAAAGCCGCCAAGTGTCGGGAGGAGGTCCCTTTAAAGCAGCAGGGGGCGCCCTTCCGTCGTTAGTGGTGGAGTCCTGGGGGGGCCAGGCCCAACAGTGGGCTGGACACGGGTCGGTGGCCCAGAGAGAGCGCTGAATGTTCGCTTCACAAACTTAACCATCAGAGAGCGATGCTGACCTTCCGGGTTCCGGTGTAGACTCTGGTCCTCGAGCACATCCCGGTGAACTGAGCCCGGAGGTGCGGCCTGGAACCTGCGGCCCGCGGGCGGGTGAGCCCCTGAGCGCTCCCTGCCACTGAGGTCCCTCAGCCAGAGCAGGAGGCTGCACAGAAGAGAAAGACCTCCCAGGAGAAACCGAAGAAACAAAAGCCCGTGGCCCGGGAGTGAATGAGCAGAGCATAACTCTAATAAAAGTGAAATAAAAACACATCCCAAGAGTTTGAAATGATGCATCAATCATCAGTAGTGGTGGCAGGACCAGGTTAGAGTGTGTGTGAAGGACACGGGACTGCAGGTTTGAGAGACACGGGAACTTCTGTGATCCTCACCCGAGGATGTATTTATTGATTTTGAGAGAGAGGAAGGAAGAGGGGGAGAGAGAGAGAGAGAGAGAGCGCGCACTGATCAGTTGCCTCCCATACACACCCCAACTGTGGATCACACTGAAACCTAGGCATGTGCCCTGCCTGGGACTGGAGCCTGGAACCTTTGGCGTGGGGATGCCCCAGCCAGCCGAGCCAGCCGCCAGGGCTGGACTTGGTGTTATTTGCTCAGCGGGACGTCCGAAGCCGTAGGATAATGGGCTGCCTGTTAAGAGTCTCCGACTGGAGCGAGTCTAGCAGTGATTTTGCTGAGTTGAAACTAGAGCTCCGAAGCTTCTGTGTGGTGCAGGGTCAGGGGGCGGGGGGGGGGGGGGGGACTTTGGGGAAAACCATAGAGGCGTAGCCATGGGAGAGGGTGGTCCGAAGTGAGGAATTCACATTTAGAAGCAACATAGAGGACCGAGGGAAGGCTGGAGGCAGGAGGTCAGTTCCTTCGTTTCTCTATTCCCCAGCTCCCCAGCTCCCCAGCTCCCCAGCTCCCCAGCCAGCCCAGCAAACAACCATTTTGAACACGTGGCTGAGAAACTCGCTATCAGATAGGCCCATGCTTCGCCCCGGGCCTGCGCCTTACCCGTCTGTGGGACGTCGGTGAATCAGTCAGTCAAAAATTCAACGTTATCAACTGAAAAACAAGACTAATAGTAACATCCGTTAATGCTGCCTAGGTTGGTTGAGACGGTTGGATAAGATAATACGCGATGAATGCTCGGTGCTGGACCAGGAATTGTGGAACATCCGCTAACGATTTGCTCTTTTGTTTATACTAACAGGCCGGGGTAAGATCTGGGAGATGTCCTGGTGCTGGGGGTGGTTAACGCCTTGGGGATGAAGGCATTCACCAGTCAGAGTCAAACCAGCAGACCTGAGCGCAGCCCAGCATCGCCCTGGGCCACCTGGGAGGGGCAGGGTGTGTTAAATGCTCAATCAGTGCAGAGGTGTTGATTCGGAGAACTTTCTGGAGAAGGTGGGGTTTGAGACGGGCCTGAAAGGATGAACAGGACTCCACCCAGTAGCTGGGGAAGGAGGGGAAGGACTCTCACCCTCGAGGAGTGAGCGGTGGCCTGGAGTCGGGAGGCAGCAGGCTGAGAACCACAGTAAGAAAGCCGCAGGAGATCAGTCGGACTGAAGTACAGGGACGCTCAGCGGCATAAGGAGAGAGAAAGTGTCTAAACATAGGTAAGTGTCAGATTCTTTCAGCTGAGCTTCAGCTCGTTCCCAGGAGTTTAGACGTGAATGTGGATGCCGGTCGGGCGGGGAGGTACTCTGGGGCTTACATTCAGACAGATTTAAGGACAACATTGTGAGTGGGTGTGGAAGAGAAGGAGATGGAGGAGGCCACTTAGAAGGCTGCTGGAGGCGGCCAGCCAGAGGCATGGACCTGCCTTGCTGCCCTGGGGCGGGGGTGGGGGTGGGGGGTGGGGAGGGGCGGAGACAGCAGGGGCTGGGAGCTTCCCCGAAGGAAGTACCACTGAGGGCTCAGTGACTCCGTGTTCATGGGGGAGATGGAAGAGGTGGGTTCGCAGCCTGCGAGACCAGGAAGTGATCGTGCTGTTGAGAAAGGGGAGAGGGCGGGGGACGGCTGTCAGTGGGAGGTGCTCCGGGACATCGGGACTCTGGAGGAAATGTCCTGGCCGTGGGTTGTGCCCTGGAGCTGGGAGCCGAGGCGGCAGGCGGTGGCGGCGGCCTTGCTGGGGGGCAGAGTTGGAGGTTTGGATGCAGGAGCTACGGCGCTGGAGGGCGCATCATCGTCATCGGAGAAGGACTGCATTTCCTCTCGGTAGCGGGAGAGGAGCCAGCGGCCCAGACAGGACAATGGGGGAGGTGTGTGTCACCCGGGGGAGGAGAGACTTTCAAGAACATCGGTGATTAGGTCTTACAAGCATTGAGATTAAAGTGACAAGTGACGTGTTGAAAGCATTTTAGGCACCTTGGGCGGCTGGCGATAGGGAGGAAGTCACGGACATCGGGCTCCAGGGCTGATCGTCCCTGAGGCTTGGAGGCTCCAGTGAGTTTCCTCTGAGTAGGAATGTGCTGCCCAGCCCTTGCCTGAAGGCCGCCTCCTCGGCGATGCAGGACAGAATCCCGTGGAAGACGTGCCTCATGGAGGGCAGGGCAGGAGCCAGGCTGCGGGCGATGTGTCTGGGGTGGGCGTGCTCGGTGCTTCTCTCAGCAAAGCTGGGGTCGGGGCGGAGTTCCTGGCTGGCCCTCCAGCACAGCGATCCGAGGGCAGTGGTCGGCAAAGGGCGGCTCGCGAGCCACATGCGGCTCTTTGGCCCCGTGGCATGGGCCACAAAGTTTCAATCGCACTGTACGTGCGCGCCCGCACGTGGTATTTTGTGGAAGAGCCACACTCAAGGGGCCAGTTTGCCGACCACTGTCCTAGGGGACAGTTTAAAACAGTGAACTTAGCTGCGGTTGCAAGTGGCCCAGAGCCAGGAGCAGCCCGGAAGGGAGCACCTGGGTCCCCGGGAGCTCGGGCCGGGGTGCGGGAGCTCTGCGCTCCCCTGCGGAGAAGGAGCGGGCTTTTCTGGTCAGCTGTGGAAGTGAAGCAGGTCGGTCGGGGGATGGGCCAGACCCGGACAGCCTCGTTTTCTAAATCACAGTCAGTGTTGGTAGAGCAAGTGAGTTCCTAAATGTGAACTCTGCTTCCAGGTGGAGCTGAACACGCCGGTGTCTTCAGCATCCCGGCCACATCTGCCTCTCCTCCCTGGCCTCCTTCCCGCCCCTCCACGCCTTCTCTCCAAAAGTTAGTGCACGGCCCTCCCTCCTCTCGGGGCCGGCCCGCTGGTTTGGGCGTTGGGCTCCCTTCCCATTCTCTCCGCTGAGGATCCCGGTGGAGGTCTCTGCGGAAAGGGGCCTGGTTTTCATTGCAATTGGGTCCGATGGGGCACCTGAAGTCGCAGCTGGGTCTCTGTGCAAATGACAGGCCCCTCCCTGCACTCGCCTTGCCTAGGGGGCCTCCCCCTGGGCTCCGGCTCCGCCCAGCGCCGACCCTGCTCTCCGCTGCCCAGGGGGCAGGGGTCCCTGGCTCCCCTCTCCCCCGGTGCCGCTTCGGCGTCCGGTCTCACACTGTCCGTCCCGCTTCCACTGTCTCTCCTCCCTCACCTTTTCCTTTTTCCGTCTCCTCCATCCTCAGAGCAAAGCAATCACCGATTAGAGCTTAACTGCACTGGATTTCGTTCCCTCTCCTCATCATCTCTTTCCTTCTCTCCCATTAGGCTAGTGGCCATGGTAAGTGTTGACGCGGCTCGTAAGGGTTGCTGTTGGGAGTGTGGTCCTGTGGCCGCGCCAGGTGCCTAATGCGATGAGCCTAATGGGAGGCGCGCAATGCGGACGTGAGAGCTGCGCCGTGTTCCTCTTTCCCGGGCTGGGAAGCGCGCCAGTGGGGCTTTCAAGGAGATGGTGTGGTGGGGTGCGTGACAAGTCCGGAGATCCACAGTTTGCTTCTGCACTTTCTGTGATTGAGGACACTGAGCTTCTCTTTGCCACACATTGGTCTTAATTTTTAAAAATAGGGATTAAAGCCCTAGCTGGTCTGGCTCAGTGGATAGAGCATCAGCCTGCGGACTGAAGAGTCCCTGGTTCAATTCCGGTCAAGGGCACATGCCTGGGGTTGTGGGCTCGATCCCCAGTAGGGGGCGCACAGGAGGCAACCAATCAATGATTCTGTCTCATCGTTGTTTGTATCTCTTTCCTCTCCCTTCCTCTCTGAAATCAATAAAAAATATATTTTAAAAAATAAAACAGGGATTATGGCATTTCTCACTACTACCTTGGTGGAATGATTTAAGATCCCAGTGAAATAATATGTATGTGAATGTTTTGAAAAGTAGGATTATTTATGTGGATAAATATCTCCCAATCAAAATGTAAAAACTGGGTTGGCAGCATGTGTCAATGAGCTGACAGTATTACATGACCTCTAATGATCCTTCAGCCCTTAAAATCTGGTTTTTCTAGACAGTCCTTGGCATACCGTAGGGGCTCTAGCAACATGTAGGTGGGCAGACAGGTGATGGGTGGGCAGACAGGTGATGGGTGGAGGGAGGTGGGTGGATATCTAAGTGTCCATTTGGCCCTTCCTACTCCGGTTTCCGTTTCACATTGACACCGCCGCCCTCTGCTGGCCAGCGGCAGTATTGCGGCGCAGTGAGTGTAGCTGGGCCCTTTCCTCCCTCTCTCTCCCCAGCTGCAGACTTTGGTACCTGTCTTGGCCCTCAGTCACTCACGGCTGTCTCCCCTCCCCTCCCCTCCCTCCCGCCCCCTCCCGCCCCTGCAGCACTGCCAGTAACTCCAACCGCAGCTCGCCGGCCTGCTCCCCTGTCCTCCGGAAGCGGTCCCGCTCGCCCACCCCCCAGAGCCCGGACGCGGACGCCATGGTGGAGAAGGGCTCCGACCACTCCTCGGACAAGTCCCCCTCCACGCCTGAGCAGGGCGTGCAGCGCAGCTGCTCCTCGCAGTCCGGCCGGAGTGGAGGCGGCAAGAACTCCAAGGTGAGCCCGGGGTCCCTGTCCTGGACGCCACTTGCTTGTCAGCCGACGGGAGCATGGTGTTGGGGGACGGGGAGGTGATCACCCCTTCCTGAGGGACCCTAGTGTCCTGAGAGAGCCCTGGCTCAGTGGGTGAGGGTGGGGCAGGCAGGGAGCCCTCCTTACAGCCCTCTTCTCCACTGAGCGCTCAGGGAAGGCTGGGGCTGTCACGACCCCATGGAGGGGCTAGGGGGCCTCGCACACCTGGAGGCTTGGAGGAGGGGGGCTCCGGGAGTCAGGACGGGCCTGTGTTTAGCCTTTTTTTTTTTATTTCAGAGAGGAAGGGAGAGAGAGAGAGAGAGAGAGAGAGAGAAAGAGATAGAAACATCAATGATAGAGAATCATGGATCGGCTGCCTCCTGCAGGCCCCACTCTGGGAATTGAGCCTGCAACCCGGGCATGTGCCCTGATCAGGAATCGAACCCTGACCTCCTATTCATGGGTTGACACTCATGCTGTTTGCAGCCTCCGCCCTGGCCTCACATTGTCTCCCTTTGATGGCATCCGTTTGATGCTCATCTGTCCGGGAAGATGGGACAGGCCCCTCCCTCCCTCCCAGGCGCGGGCACCACCGTGAGCACCAGCCTGAGGCTGAGGACTGGGCTGCTCCTGGGGCCCAGAGTCCCTGCCCCTCAGCCCTGGGGAGCAGGAGGTGTGTGTCTAGATGCCCCTCCCCCCTGGGCTCGCGGGCCTGGGGCGGTTCTGGGGTCCGGGAGGCACGGGAATGGCCTGGACCTGAAGCTGCCTTTTGACTTCTTGTTCTTCCTCTTCCCCCTTCGCCACACCCCTTCTTTGCATGCACGGCCTTAGTCTCACAGGCGCCTCTCAAAAGTAAGCCGTCCAGTCTCTGTGGCCCCCTCGTCCACTTGTCTGTAGTGCTCTGCGCCCCCTGCCCCCCGCCCGCCCTGGCCCGTGTCTTGCTTGGTCCCTTTCCCAGAGGCCCGCCCGCTGCCTGGGGCCGGCTGCCTGATGTTACCAAGGGCGGGTAAGGGACCGGTTTCCCTGCACCTAGAGCCAAAGAGACCTGCGCCCCGCCCCCCATGTCTCTGCCTGCTCCCCAACACTGCCTGGGGCTGGGGACCTGCCCCCTTACCACCACCTGGAAGCAGAGTCTTTGGGGGAGGGAGGCTCTGACCCCCTGGGCCTGCTCTGGTGGGTGATTCCTGATCCCTGGAGGAGTCAGCTGAGGGTCATGGGTCCCCACAGATGAGTTCTGGGTGCTGGAGAGTGGCCTCCTTCCCCCGCCTCCCACAGGGAGCTCTCCGCCTGAGCACCCTAGCCTGCCCCCCCGCCCCCCCCCAGCCACCGCTGCTCATGTTCCCAGGAGGTGAGACGGGCCTGGGCTGGCACCGGGGCTGCTGTGGGCCAGACTACGGGGAAGAAGGGCCTGGAGGGAGGGGGCAGGGGGGCTGGGGGGCGGGGCAGGCTTATCTGGCCACAGGGTTGTGAGGTGGCCTCTGTCCTCCCCTCCTGAGCCCCTCTCCTCTGGCGGGGAGCGGGCAGGTGCTGCCCCATGGGCATCAGGTGCTCTGTCCCTGCTCTGCCCTCAGCCTCGGCACAGTTTCCCCCCGAGGGTGCAGCTCTCGCTTCCGGACCCTCTCACCCGACACCCAGCAAGGCGCCTCCTGGTGTCCTCAGTGACCAGGCACTTCCGGGGCCCCTCCCGTCACCTGTCGGACGAGGCGAGCGCCCGGGATTGCGGATTGTCCTGAGTGGGTCCTGCAAGAGGCATGGAGGAGTGTGAACACCAGGCTCCCGTCCGGGCAGGACACAGTCCGAGAGGGAGCTGGAGACCACCAGCTGCCCACAGCCACGCCGGGCTGGGCCCGGGAGGTGGGGTGCTCCCCAAAGCCAGAGGCAGGAGACCCTGTGTGAGTGGGGGAGCGGCCCTGAGCCAGGCTGGACTCTGAGCTTCTGGAGAGACTCTCAGGGGGTTGGGGGGGGGGGGCGCCCACGCTGAGCGCGGACTGAGTGTTAGTCTTGCCCCTTCCCTACGGAGCCACAGAGGGAGGGGACAAGGGACGCAGAGCGGGCTGAGGCAGCGCCTGGCCCCGTGGACACTCTGTGTTCCCGGCTTTCCATAGCCGCCTCCCCACCGGGTTCTCTCACCATCATGGCCATCGCCACCAGCACCACAGCCTCCAAGTGCAGTTAGAGTCACACTGACTCGCGGAGAGCGTGCCCACCACGCAGAGGCAGCAGCGGGGCGCTCTGGGACATGCGTGTGGCCACACGGTCTGGATAGGAATCCGGTTCTGCACAGGGCGGGGCCTGGAGCCCAGAGTGAGGAAGAGCTGCAGGGGGAGGCGGAGAGGAGCAGAGAGTGCTTGTGTGGGGGGACAGGCCCCTCAGGGAGCCGGCTCTCGGGTGGACAGATGTGGCCGTGGCCTGGGACCCGGCAGCCAGAGCTATTGCCACTGCCTTCCCAGCCGGCCCCAGGCCCGGCCCTCAGCCACCTCCCGGAGGAGGTGGCGCCACGTCCAGGCAGGACTGAGTGCTTCCTGCCCCGGAGCCAGGCCTCGTGCGGGGCCTCCATTTCTCCCTGCCCGTGTTAGTGCGGGGCCGGGCCTGCTGGTCAGCAGTGTCCCTCTCTGGAGTCTGTCCTACACGTGAGGCTGACCGGTGCAGCACTGGCCGGTGGCAGGTGGCAGGCGGCAGGGGCATGTCCACTTCTGCCTCCAGCCTCGCGCTGTAGTGCTGGCTCCGGGCCACTAGGAGGCGCCTGCGGCACTCCTGGGCCTCCGGCTTCCTGGCCTGGAGTGGCGCGTCAGCCGGCCCTGCCTCTGGCTCCTTTCCCCTGCTTTTCATTCCTCGTGTTTGTGGTTTCCTTTCCAGTGCGACAGACTTAACCTGATCAAAGTGAGAACTTGTTTGTTCTCCTCGCTGCTGTTAGAGCAGAGCCCTGGGCTGCTGCTGCCCCGCCCACCGGCCAGGCCCCGCCCCGCCCACCGGCCAGGCCCCGCCCCCCCAGGGGAGCTGTTTCAGAGCCTGGCTGTTTGCAGGGCCTTGGGGGCCCCAGGCGCCTGCCCTCCGGGTGGGGCTGCGAGTGGGCCCCTCGGCTCCCGGCTCCCGGCAGCTCTGTCTTGGGTACTTCTCCTGACCCTCCTCCCCCTTCTGCCAGTTCCACGAGAACCCGCCAGCAGAGCCCTCTCCACACTGGTGGTTCCGCCCCTCCCGGCCTCTGGCCAAGATGGGGCATTTCCATGAGCCCACACATGGCGGCCTCCCTCCTGCCCGGGGATGCCCGCGGCCCCTCTGGCTTCCCTGCCCCTCAGGCTGGGCCACCCTCAGGGCTCAGTCCTGGAGAGCGGAGCTCGGGGGTCAGAGGCGGGTCAGAGTCCGGGACTCCTGCCCGGGGCGCTCAGGGGCTCCGTGGGGGAGGCACAGGGTGGGCCCATTTCCCTGGGCGCCTCAGTGGGCAGGGCAGAGCTGCTCGGAAGCAGCTGATGAGGGGTCGGCTCATGCTGAGAGACAAGACTGAACTCTTGCTTGTGATGGTGCATCTCCCATGTCCCTACCTGAGAACACCTCCTTCACTCCCTTCAAAGAGCAGATGTCCCCCACGAAGGACCACAGCAGGCAGCGAGGAGGCAGGGCCCTGGCTGCGGCCGCGGCCCTCGGGGGACCTCTGTTGTAAAGGCTCGGAAGGGACAGGCATTGGGTGGCGGGACAGGAGGAGAGAATGTTGTCCTGCTCCCCTCACGGGAGGAGGAGGAGGAACGCACAGCAGCGGCCAGAGGGTGTTGGTGCCCACCCAGCCCGCGGCCCTGCGGCGCCTTCGCCCAGGTCTGACGCGCAGGAGGCCGGGGTGGGCTGGGGCTGTGAGGCAGTGTCTGGTGACCTGGCTTGGGCGAGATGAAATGCAGGCAAACTGGCCGTCGAGGCTGCAGCTCCCAGGGCTCGCCTCCCCCGGCTGGGACGTGTTTTACTGCGCATCTGCCAGCCTCATGCCCTGGGCGCAGGCAGGACCAGGACCACATGGCCGGTGCTGACACGCTGACGGGCTGACTTCCAGTCCCAGGGCCGGGCTTCCGGTGGCCGCGAGTCCGCAGGGATGACAGGTGGTTTCGGGTGTTCCGATTTGGCTCCTTGACCTGCCAAGGCCTCGGAGGAGGGGGAGACGAGGCCAGGGTGGGAACCCGTGACTTCCCCATGGGCCGAGGTGACAGCCTTTGTCTGGGAGTGGCCTTGGCAAGCACCCTGCAGAGGGTGAGGGCCTGCCGTGCCCTCTGCTCCTCTGGCCGCATCCTGGCCCCTGGGCTGAAACAAACCCATCAGGGGCGGCACCACCCACCCCTGTCCCTCTGCTCACACGCACCCCTTCCAAGTGGAGGTGGCGAGTCTGCAGACTCTTCTGGTGGGAGAGCTGGTGTCCGCAGGAGGTCACGGGACCCTGCTGTCCTCACCACAGGCACACACCCGCCCTGCACCCCCAGGCACGCCGCCCTCTTCCCTGAGACAGTGGGGCCCTTGAAGCCCAGGAGGGGGATAGAGGTTGTTCATTGTGCCCAGGGGCCGACCTCTGCGCACAGCGAAGACGCTCCCCTCTCCCCGGTGGCTCTCCACCTGAATGACACCCGGGGAGCTTTGTAAACCGGGAAGCACCCGGCGCCCGTCTCAGCCCAGGGTCAGCCTCGGAGGACGAGGCCCGGGCAGGTGCGTGCTCGTGTGCATGTGTGTTCTCTGCTGCCCCCCCGGGGGTGTGCGTGAAGGACCCCAGCCTTCGAGCTCAGAGGCAGACAGGGCATAGCTTAGCCCTCCTCCTGCCCCAGAGGACTTCCTGCTGCCCCGAGGATGAGCCCCTTGGCCCGGGCGGGGCACGGAGAGCGGCCGGATCCTGGAGCTGTTGCGGGACTGGGCTTGTTGGTGTTGAGTTATGGCCCCATGGGTAGCAGGGACGTGCTCTAGCCTTGCTCCTGCTGCACCAGCGAGAGCGGGAGCGGGAGCGGCCTCATCTGCTCGCTGACAGCGCAGCGAGGAGTTTCTAGGCGGCCCCTCGCGTCCCTGGCACAGAAGCATCCGGTCCTGCCCCAGGGGGCTGGCCTGGCGGAAGGTGGCGGGGCTCACCTGCGCTCTGCTTCTGGTCAGGGCCTCGGGACGGTCGGATGCCTGCGCGCATCCCTTCCCCATCAGAACCTTTGATGAGGTCAACTCCCCAGCTGAGCTCTGGCTGGTGCTGCCATTGCCTGTACCCCGCGCGCGGAGCCACCAGCATGGGCTGCGCCGGGAGGCCCCTCCTGCAGCTGCATTGGGCCCCGCCCCTGCCCGCGCTGCTGTCTGTGTAGCCTGCCTTCTGCAGCCGGAAATGCCCCGGTGCCACCACCTCCCCTGACTAACGTACCTTCTCTTCTGTTTTGTCCTTTCAGAAAAGCCAGAGCTGGTATAATGTAAGTACCCGCTTCTCTTCTTATCGGTGCATGTGGGGCCGGGGGACGTGAGCATGGACGTGGTCGTGGACGTGGACGTGGCTGTGGACGTGGCTGGGGATGGGGATATAGAGCAGCTGGGCGGCCTGAGGCCTGCATCACACTGAGGGGCAAGGGGGGTGGGCCTCTTCCTGGACAGCCCTCCACCAGCCCAGCTGCAGGGGTCTCGGTGGCCGGGTCGCGCTGGGCTGAGGGCAGGGAGCGTGTGCCAAGGAGACCAAGGAGCGTGGACCCCCGTCCTTGCCTAGCCACCTGGGCAAGGCTCCTCTGGACTTATTGGAGGCCAGTCGGGAAGACCAGACAGACTTCTGGGACCAGAACGTAGGCCGTGGAGCTAGGAGAAATGCAGCCAGAACGTGCCCCCCAGTGGTAAAGAGACTGTAGCATGAAGGAGTTTAAACTCCTGCCCCCCCAGGCACACCTCTGAGGCCCAGGGGTGTGCCCCTCCCGGGAGGCATCCGCTGTGCTGGGGGCTGGGGTGCAGCCTGGGTGTCCGTGGGTGCCCACCAGCGGCTCCACGCCCAGACGCTGGGAGCACGCGTGCCCTGCAAAGGCCACGGCCCAGGCAGGTGGATGGGCGCGGGGCGCTGAGGTGCCCTGAGGAGCCCCTGGCTGGTCTCAGCGGGCCCTCGGGCTGTGCTCCGCCCCTGGGCTGCCCGGGCAGGGGTGGCGGCCTGCAACCACGGCCTGGCCTGCCTGGCTCAGGCACCTCTGTCGCCAAGCCTGCCGTCCCCACACCTGTCCTGCTGGGTCAGGATGCCGTCTGTCCCTGGTCCCCACCCAGGCTCCGTTCGGCAGGTTGACGGCCGGAGAAGGTGTGGGACAGGTGGCTGCGGATGCCGGAAGGGAGGGCTCCCTGAGAGGGGACGGTGGGGACGGGGTGGAGGAGAGGCGTGGGCTAAGGCAGGGACTGGGGCCAGAATTGCCTGTGCACAGGGAGGAGGGAGATGCTCTGCCACGCAGCCTGGTGACCCCACGTCAGGCACGTGTCCGGGAGCCTGAGGCTGCAGGCTGCTGCCCGAGGCCTGCCTGTCCCTGGGCGGGGGAGCCCCACTCACCCCAACCAGCGCAAAGGGGGCAGATCCCCGGCTGTGCTGCTGGGAGGGGAGTTGACGCCGAGGCAGCCGACTGGAGGACAAGCAGCTTGATCCCTTCATTCCTACCCTGTGTCTTGGACCCCCAGGAGCTGAGCGGAGGACGTGGTGGAGGGAGACAGAAGAGTGGGTGGACACTGGGAGGCAGGCAGAAGCTGAGACAGGGACCTCCCGCTGGCCGCTGGCCGAGCTGCAGGCGCCAGGAGCTGTGTCTGGCATAGCTTTGTTTTTCATGTTTGACATCTAAAGAGTGATCAGCAGCTGCCCCAGTGGGGAGAGCCCGGCTTCAAGTAACCCAGGACCCCCCCGCCCTCCTACCACTAAAGCCCTGCCCCTTCCTAAAGCGAGACCAAGGCTCTGGCTGGGCTTGCCCACTTTGGGGTGTCGGGCCCGCACAGCAGGCATCACCCCACACGCCCTTCGGACGGCACCAGTGCGCCTTGGGCTGCTCCCTGGCGTGACTGCCCCATGCGACCGGGATGCTCAAACCTGGCTGTTTCCAGAGCCACCTGCATCCCTGCGCCTGGGTACCCCTCCCCCCCCCCACGCGCCCCCTCCCCTCAGCACGTGCCCTCGGCCGCTTGATATCGAGCTCATGCTGTGCATCACGTGCATCACGCGTGTCTGTGTGTTGTGTGCAACCCCCACCCGGAAGCTCCAGGTCAGCCCGCCCCTCACCTGCAGAGCTGCCTCCCAGCTGTCCATCAGGGGTGGGCAGCCCTTGCCCTGCCTGTGGCTTTGACCTCGTCCTCTTTCCCCTTGGTCTGCTCGGCCCTTTTCCCAGCCTCTGGGTTGCCCGATGCTAGGCTCTGACCTCTGACCTCTGGGAAGGACAGGCCTCTTTATAATCTCCCTGGCCCCACGGTGTCACCACCTCCGCTGCCTGAGGCCTGTCCCGCACCCGGGACAGACACGCCTCGCCAGGTCCAGGACAGACAGACACGCCTCGCCAGGTCCAGGACAGACAGACACGCCTCGCCAGGTCCAGGACAGACAGACACGCCTCGCCAGGTCCAGGACAGACAGACACGCCTCGCCAGGTCCAGGACAGACAGACACGCCTCGCCAGGTCCAGGACAGACAGACACGCCTCGCCAGGTCCAGGACAGACAGACACGCCTCGCCAGGTCCAGGACAGACAGACACGCCTCGCCAGGTCCAGGACAGACAGACACGCTCGCCAGGTCCAGGACAGACAGACACGCTGGCCGGGTCCAGGACAGACAGACACGCTGGCCGGGTCCAGGACAGACAGACACACTGGCCGTGTCCAGGACAGACAGACACGCTGGCCGGGTCCAGGACAGACAGACACGCTGGCCGGGTCCAGGACAGTGGGAGTCACGCAGGCTGCTGACCGTCGCGGGGACATCTTAGGCCCGCGAGATGTGCGTCTGATGTGAGACGCGCCCAGCGCCCCTGCCCACCCCTCAGCGCCTCCCTGTCTGTCTCTTCTGCATTTTGCTTTATCTGTTTAGCCGTGATGACCAAGCCCCTCGGCCTACAGAGTGGACCCCGAGGGGGAGTGTCTGGGCCCAGGGCCACGTGGGAAGGCTGAGGCGTGAAGTGGCTTCTCCCCAGCTGGCTGTTCAGGGCCAGAGGGAGGTGGAAGGTCGTCCCAAGTCCCCCCGAGGCCGGTGACGTGTACTCCCCCCACCTGACCGTCCAGTTTCATTCATGGAGGCCCAACTTGGGAGGCGCAGCCCCATAGGCCTGAGACGGGGTACGCAGAAGCAGGCGTGAGTGTCAGCAGGGGCGGGGGGCCGAGCCAGCGGCGGAGGGTGCAGGTGTCCCTGCCGGAGGCCCTGCTGGCGCAGTGGGCGCATCGAGGTGCCGCGTCCTGTGCCCCGGGTGGCAGAGGTGCTGTCCCCCGCTGCCTCGCCTCTCTCCGGGGGTCAGTCCTCTGCTCGGCAACCCACCGAAGGAGCATGTCTGAGGCAGAGAACAGGCGCCCAGACGCTGGCCGCTGCCCCAGACTTAGAGCCTATTGCCTGGCGCCCTGGTGAGGGTCGGAGGATGGCTTCTGGGTGGCGAGAAGGGACAGTGCCCATCCAGGGAAGGCCGGGCACGTCCGGCAGGTAGAAGAGAGCAATGCCCTGTAGGATGAAGTGTGCATGGGGGGCGGGGGGAGGCGGGCAGTGAGGTGGGAGCACAGGGAGGGGCCGCTGTAACCCCTGGGGCTGAGGCTCTGCCCATTCCTCCCCCTGTTCCTCAGCCTCCTTCCCTCCGCCCCTGCCTGCATCACCCCCGCGCCCACCCGCTCTCCTTTCCGTATCAGTCAGGGCCCTGGCTCCTCCCGCCCGCCCGGATTTAGTTGGGGGCCAGGTTTCCTTGAGGGTGAGGGTCTTCATTGGTTTCTTCCTAGACAAGGCCAGTACTCAGCCAAGTCCACCTGTTTTCCTCCTGGGCTCCCTCCCCCCCCGCCCCCCCCGCGCTGCTCCCGGAAGCGCTGTCTGTCCACAGAGGGGAGGGCGTACCACTTGGTCCCAGCTCCCAGTGTTTGCCCTGGAGTTAATGTTTAGCTCAGGGCCAGGGCCGATTCCCTCCCCCCAGACCTGGAGCTCCGCTTCTCAGGCGGGCGGCTGGCTGCGGGGTATGGGAGCCCAAGGCCCACACAGGGACGCATCCCCGGCCCCAGCTTTCTGCGCGCCCCGCCTGCTCCTCCCAGCGCAGGCCCACAGTCCTCCACGCTGGGCCCGCAGCTGTGCCCATGTGTTTGCAGGGAGTCCTGTGGGGACCAGCCCTGTGGGCCTGGGTCTGGGTGGCCGGGACGGGGCATGTTCAGGCGAGGACACGGAATTGCTGAGTTCCCCTGCGGCTGCTGAGGACTGGCCGACACGGGCGCAGGGCAGCTGACCGGGGCTGGGAGAATGTTGGCGGGGCCGACCCCAGAACCCCGGACAGAACTGGGGCTGTGCGGGCGCACGCACAGTGCCGTGTGAAGGGGACGGTTTTCGAGGCGAGGAAGGAACGCCTCCCTTGGTGAAGGGTTTCGAGCAGCTGGCATGGGAAACGCAGCATGCGGGGATGTGGACGGCGTAGAGCGGGTCCTTCCTGGAGAAGGTGGCGTGCGGGCGGCTGCCCTGTGTGGGGCGGCTGCAGGGAGGCTGTGCCCGCCTGTGCACGAGGAGTCGGAAGGACTCAGACTTTTCCTCTACTCTCTCCGACACCGTCTCCCGGGGAGGCCTGGGGTCCTCTGGTCAGAATCGTCGGGGCTGGGAGTTGAGACTCGACCCTTTCGGTGCGTTAGGTCACTCGGCACTGCTGTCCGTGCTGTCCCAGGTCGCCGGGCTCCCGGGCACAGCACTCCCCATCATGCAGGCTCCAGCCCTGAGAGTGGGCTCAGCCGCGAGGGCTGCCTGTCCCGGGCATCCACGTCTTCCCAGCCCAGCGCTGTCTGCTTCCTGCCCGGCTGCTCCGGGAGCCCCGTGCCCTCCTCGCGTGGCTCCGTCCTCCCACGACCTCAGCGTCCCTGCGTGGGGCTGGCTCCTTTGACCTGGGCCACAGTCTCTGTTCTGAGCAGCTGCTGGGCCCTGTGGTCTGAGCCGCCTGGGAAATCTGGCCGGGCGGCCGCAGGGCAGGGTCCCTGGGAAGGAAGCAGACGCCTCAGACACCCAGTGCTGTGGCCGCAGCCCCTCGGCCATCTGTCCAGCTTCTCCCGTCAGCGCGTCTGCTGTGCGACGGTCACCCCTCCAGACCTGTTGCTGCTGCTGCAGGGAAGGAGGACAGGACAGGTCAGTGAGGGGAGAGGGGCCTCCAAGCAGGCCCTGGGTGAGTCTCCGGTTTCATCACCACAGCCCTGCCCCTGCCCCTCCTCACCCCTCCCCCACTTGGCGCCTGGTGGCTACTTTCCTTCGCAGGAAACATCTGCGGGGAGGCCAGGCGCAGGGGTTACTGGAGGACGTTGGCCAGTGCCATCACCAGTCCTGTCACTTGAAGCATGTGTAGGCTCTGGCCCTGCCCGCCACCGTCCTGACTGCCCGCCCCCCCCTCGGCCACCAGGGAGTCTAACAAAGAAGCTGTTTGCTGGTCAGCCCAGAGGAGTGCGGCTGGGAGGGGAGGGGTGTGGGGTGGGGGAGCAGCGCTGTGGCCACAGCCCTCGGTGGCCGCTCCGCCTGGGTGGGGGCCGTGAGTCACGGTGTCGTCCAGAGCGGAGGTGGCACACAGGGCTGGGCTGGGCGGTGTGCGGGGCGGACGGGCGCAGAGCTGGGCGTTGGTGCTGGCCCGGGAGCAGCGCAGCGTGAGCCGCTGGTCTGTGAGGAGCCGGCGGCCGCCCTCTGCGCTCAGCCGGGGGCCCCGGGCCTGCGTTCAGCCCTCGCCGCTCCGCGCACCTGCCGTGGCGGCGGCCCCTCCCGGCTCAGCCGGCCCCTGGGAGTGGCTGTGCGCACCGACCGGCACGGGGCTCCACGACCTCCCCTCCGTCCCTGGCCGCGGGCGACTGGCCAGCAAGCCCGTCCCGAGAAGCGTGCTGACCGCACCCTCCGCTGTGAAGTCTGTGCTGGGAACGGAGCCCGGAGGCCCGGAGGCCGGCCAGGGGCGCGGAGCCGAGGCCGCTGGTCCGTCGGCCCGGCTGGGTCCACCCCGCGGGGACTCGGAGGAGAGGGTCGCCTGGGGAGCAATGGAGTCTTTGACGGAATGTGGGGTCCTCTGGAGCCTCCTGCTGGAGCAGGGCCGCCGGCCCTCGCGGTGGGACGCGCCGGAGGTGACCGAGGGGCCTGCCCACGCGGACCCCCTTGGCCGGCGTGGATCTGAGGAAATCCGTGGCCGGCGTGGATCTGAGGAAATCCCGGCCGTGAGTGTCCCCCCTTTCTCTCTCTCTGTGTGGCCGTTCTGCCGCCTGCCACCCCCAGCCCTGCTCCCCGAGGGCTCCAGACCTGACAGCCCGGAACCAGAATGTGCTGTTAAAGTGGGTGAGCCCCGCCCTTAGGCCAGTGATGGCGAACCTATGACACACGTGTCAGAGGTGACACGCGAACTCATTTTTTGGTTGATTTTTCTTTGTTAAATGGCATTTAAATATATAAAATAAATATCAAAAATATAAATCTTTGTTTTACTATGGTTGCAAATATCAAAAAATTTCTCTATGTGACACGGCACCAGAGTTAAGTTAGGGTTTTTCAAAATGCTGACACGCCAAGCTCAGAAGGTTCGCCATCACTGCCTTAGGAGATGGCTTTCAGAGAGTGGGGGGGAGGAGGGGTGTGGTCTCCGGCGTCCAAGGGGCCTGTGGTGGCCCCCGGCCGTGTCTGCGCTCGAGGCTCGAGGGGCGAGGGCCGGCCCACACCCCACCCGCCGCCCGGAGAATCGGCGTTACCTGCGAGCCTGGGTGAGGGAGCTTCTGTACAAGCAGCCTGGGGCCCTCCGGGGTCAGGCTGGGGCCCTCCGAGGTCAGGCCGGGGCCCTCCGGGGTCAGGCCGGGTCCGGCCTCCTTTCCCCAGCTCTGCTCCGAGGCGAGGAGCAGGGACTGCAGCTGCTTGCACTCCCTCCCCGGGAGCTCCCACTGGGCACGAGAGCAGCGGGGCGACGGGTCGGTGCGGAAGGAGCATCAGGAGGGGGAGGACTTGCGGCTCCGGGACGCCTGTGTCCAGTTCCGCCCGAGGGGTGGGGCCGCCCGGGAGGCGCGTCCTCGGGCTGATGTTGGGGCTGCGCTACACGGAACACACACCCCTTATGTGCTCTAAGCACGCAGTGCAGGGGCGCTGAGTACGTCCACGTGGTTGTACGACCGGTTTCCAAAGCTTTCATCTTGCAGAGCCGTAGCCCTCTGGGTCACCCTTAACAAGGGGGCCGGCCGCACGGTGGGAGCTGAGCGGCTGACACGGACGCGGCCTGGGAGGCGGCCCGTCCGCCCGCCCGGGGACTGAGCTGACCACCTCTCGCTGGTGAAGTTTCATGCTGGGTGCAGGGCCGTGGGGGAGAGCAGAGGCCAGTCCAGGCCTTAGCTTCCTCGGCGGTAATAGGCGGGTTGGGTTAGATCATCTACCCCCACCCCAAACGCCCCGCCTGTGGGCAGGGCAGGCTGTTGGGCAGCACAGAGTAGGTGGACATCCATCCCCACGAGTGAGTTCTGATGGGCGTCTGCTGTTTGCTCAGCACAGCGACCCCGAGGCCAGGTGGGGCTGGCTCAGATGGCGGCCGTGGCTCAGGTGGCCGTGGCTCAGGCGGCCGTGGCCCAGGCCACACGCCCGCTCAGTGGCCACATTCTTTGGGCGAGTGTCTTCACTTCTTTGTGCCTCGGCTTCCCCATGTGTACAATGGGGTAATAAGCACCCCACGGGCAAGTGAGACGCTGTGGGTGGAGGTGCTAACGTGCCGGGCGTGTGGAAATGGCCCACCACACGTGAGCTTGATGGGGCTCTGCGGGTCACGTACACATGATGAGGAACTCGGTGGTGGTCAGCAAGGTGTCCGTGTGGATCTGCTCGGTGCGGCCAGAGGCGTTGGGATTGGACGCCTCGGCATCTGTCTGGCAGTAACATCTGGCCAGGGCGCGTGGGTTCTGGGGTCTTGTCTCGCCCAGAAGGCATGGGAGTGGCTGCTTCCGGGCACTCACGCCCAATGGCCCCGACACTTGGCTCAAGCACCTGGCAGGTGGTTTTCAGTTTGGGACTCTGTACGGTCGGTAGCAGGGTGTCCACTCTGACCAGGGCAGCTCATGTTCTAAGCAAGACAAACCAGTTTAACATCCATGCGAGCAGACCGAGCAGTGGACAGCGTCCGGGTCCTCTCTTCCGGAAAACCTCCCTGAACTGCAGCCATGTCGTCCGTTCTCTCTGCTCCCTGGAGTGCGCCTGTCCCCCGGCGCAGGAGCCACTCGGCCCCTGGCTCAGGCGGCCAGGGAGCCTCTGGCTGTGGTCAGGCCGCAGCCTCAGCTTCCTCGCGGGCACCCAGCTTTGCAGAAAGACAAAAATGGACAGTCCAGAGCCCACGCCACTATCGCAACAGCTGTATGCCACTGGGTTCCTAGAAAAATGGGCCGGAAAGTGGGAATGGCCTAGACCAGTGATGGCGAACCTATGACACGCGTGTCAGAGGTGACACGCGAACTCATTTTTTTGGTTGATTTTTCTTTGTTAAATGGCATTTAAATATATAAAATAAATATCAAAAATATAAGTCTTTGTTTTACTATGGTTGCAAATATCAAAAAATTTCTCTATGTGACACGGCACCAGAGTTAAGTTAGGGTTTTTCAAAATGCTGACACGCCGAGCTCAAAAGGTTCGCCATCACTGGCCTAGACCCAACTCCCCCGTCACCAGACGGTCTGACTGCACGCGTGTGTCCCGCACAGCAGGCCGCAGTGTGCACAGCGGGCCACATCGTGCCCGGAGGCCGCAGTGTGCCCGGGGGCCGCAGTGTGCCCGGAGGCGTGCCGCGCTCCCGCTGCCATGCCTGGCTCTCCCTGCACCAGGGCTTTACGGCCATCGCTGGTGCCTTTCATCTCCAGGGCACGTTTCTTTTCTTTTTTAAGATCATGAGCCTAGAGCAGGGTTTTCGTGCATTCATCGGGCTCATGGTATTTCCAAGGAGGATTTGCTAGGGCAGTTTATGGGTATGGGTCTGCACTGAGGCACCGAAAAGCTAGGTGGCCACAGGGGCGGCTGGAGGCACAGTGGTGGGAGGAGGTGAGCACTGGACCAGGAATCGAGAGATCGGCCCCAGGCGGACAGGGGAGCCGCTCTCGGCTCAGCTTCCTCGTGGGTCATGTAAGTGCTGGGTTCGCTGATCTTGTGAAGGACGGTGCGGGCGGAGCTCAGGTGCCTCTAGGTCAGCGGTTCTCAACCTTCCTAATGCCGCGACCCTTTAATACAGTTCCTCATGTTGTGGTGACCCCCAGCCATAAAATTATTTCCGTTGCTACTTCATAACTGTAATTTTGCTACTGTTATGAATCATAATGTAAATATCTGATATGCAGGATGTATTTTCATTGTTACACATTGAACATAATTAAAGCATAGTGATTAATCACAAAAACTATGTAATTATATATGTGTTTTCCGATGGTCTTAGGCGGCCCCTGTGAAAGGGTTGTTTGACCCCCAAAGGGGTCACAACCCACAGGTTGAGAACCGCTGCCCTAGGCGCTTCTAATCCCTTCTGAAGTCTCTACTGTGTGCTTAGCCCAGCTGCTCGTCCTGTGGGTGGTTTGCTAATCATCTGTAAAAGTGCGCGTCCCTGAGATCACCCTGGCCTGTGACACTGTGCGGGCCTCGTGTGTCAGGATGTTTTTCCATCATGAGTGTCACGCACAGCGAGCGCCCACCGTCAGTCGCGGCAACTTCCGAGGCGGGCGATGGGCACGTGGCACGCTGAGTCCTGCGGGGGACGGGCGCCCCGGGCTGCTGCTTCCTGCTGCTGAGGCAGAGGAGCTTCCGGCGGCCGCCGTCTGCCTGTGTCTTCTGGCTGTGACGTGGGCCCTGCTCGGGCATTTGACTTTCTCACTGACGGACACGGGACTCAGCCTCTCACCGCACCGTTCTCTCCCGCGCCTTCCCCGCGCCACGCCCTCTGCCTGCCCTGGCCGCCGCGGCCCGTGGGACAGCAGAGCCTCGCTGTGCCTTAGAACACGCAAGCAGGTGCTCCTCCTGCCCCTTCCTCCCCACCCCACAGAGCTGGGAGCACCCCCTGACCTCGGCCGTTGTCGTGCAGGTGTTAAGCCCCACTTACAAGCAGAGAAATGAAGACTTCAGAAAGCTCTTTAAGCAACTTCCAGACTCGGAGCGCCTCATTGTGGGTGAGCGGGTGACTGGGTTGGGGGCTGGGGGGGGTGCAGGAAGGAGGTCGGGGGGCTCTGGGACCTCACACGGCTGCTTCTGTCTAGAGATTCCCAAGTAAGAGCCAAGGCCGGTGAGAAAGCCTGTCTGGGAACAGGGAGAGGGGTGCCCAGAGCGCTGGCCCCGGCTGAGCACCATGGTGGTGCCTCAGAGAGAGCCGACCTGGAGGACTGGCTCCCACCTCACCCCGCAGATGGTCGGCGGCGAAGGGAGGGTGCTTGTGGGTTGGAGCGGGGCATTCGGGATTGTATAGGCCTTTCTACTGCCTCTCATGCCAGCCATTCCTCTGCCTGCAGGCAGTGGTGTGTCTCGCGGCCTTCCTTTTCCCGAGGATGAGATGCTAGGGACTCCTTGGCACTAGTTCAGACCTGGTCAGTGTAGGCAGGTCCCCCACCTCCCGTGCGGGGAGGGCAGGTGATCGTGGGAAGTGCTTCCGGAATCTGAGCCCCCCTCCCCCCCACAGATTACTCCTGTGCACTCCAAAGAGACATTCTCCTTCAGGGCCGACTCTACCTCTCGGAAAACTGGATCTGCTTCTACAGCAACATCTTCCGCTGGGAAACCCTGGTAAAGACGGGCCTGCTCCCGCGGGCGGTCCCCTGGGCTGGGCTGGGCTCAGCGAGTGGCCCCCACTCGTCCCTCTGCGGACTGCTGCTCTGCCCAGCCGTGTGCAACTAACAAAGCACGGGCCTGAGTCTTCAAGGCCAGATCTCTCCCCTCCTACCCTCTTGGGTGTGGAAAGAGTGTTGAGAGGATTTGGCAATAGTCGATGCAGAGGCAGACGAGTGGGGTAAAGGGGCTTTGGCCTTGGGCCCCCGACCTGGCTTGCGCACTTTCTGGATTCCACTACTAATTAGCCGTGTGGTTTTAGGCGCATCCTTTACTCTTCCTTTGCCTCTCTCTCCTCACTTGTAAAATAAGATGTACCTTAGTTGCGGGCACATCCCCAGTGGGGCGTGTGCAGGAGGCAGCTGATCGATGTTTCTCTCTCATCGATGTTTCTAACTCTCTATCCCTCTCCCTTCCTCTCTGTAAAAAATCAATAAAAATATATTTAAAAATAATAATTTAAAAAAATAAACCAGCTGACGTGAACGGTTTCCGCGGTGCCATGCTCTGTCTGAGTGGCACCGTGCTGGCACCAGCACATTTGTCAGGCTGTGAGTAGGAGAAGCGAAGGTCCCTGGACTGAGAGTCCAGGCCCCTGGGGCTCTGGGCAAGGCGCGGCCCCACCTCGCCCTGTGGCCTCTGAACACAGGGGCTACACCAGATGACCTCTGAGGAGGTTTAGAAACGTAGACAGGTCCGTTTCCTCTGTCTGAGCGGGTGCTGGGTGAACGCCCTTCGCCGTCTTAATGCCTCTCTGCTTGTTCTCGGTTGTCTGTCCCTGTGGGAATACCAGCTGACTGTCCGTTTAAAAGACATCTGCTCCATGACTAAAGAGAAGACAGCTCGCCTCATCCCCAATGCCATCCAAGTTTGCACTGACTCAGAAAAGGTAAGCGGAGTCTCACCCTGGACTTGACTCCCTCCCTAAGCCCCAGCCCCCGGCTTCTGTGTTTCTGCCCTTCGGCTGCATTGATGGGGAGGCTGCGGGCTGGGGTGTGAGGCGGGGAGGGATGCAGTTGCAGAACTGCCTCCAGGGGGACAGGGCGTTTGGGACGCTGAGGAAGGAGGGCCAGGACACTGGACCTGGAGCCAGGGAGCCTGAGTTCGAGTCCTGCGACCGTAGGCAGATGTGCAGCCCTGTAGCCTCGGCTATCTCGGGTGGAAAAGGAGCGGCAGGACCATTTAGATACAGAGTCTTGAAAGGCCATCACACATTTGAAAGCACGAAGTTGTAAAGCGCAAAGCAAATGTCAGCTGTCATTGTGTATCAGCAGAGCTCCCGGAGGGTGCGAGGAGTCTGATGGAAAGGAATTGTCCTGTGGGTGCGGGGAAACGTGGAAGATGAAACTTAGGGCAGAGAAGTACTAGGACCGTGACTGCCCCCTTTGGGGGCGGGGGTGGACTCGGTTCCTGCCCATCACAGGGCAGCTCAGTGACAGGAACGTAGGGGCCAGGTAGCTGTTGTTGTGAATTCTGTTTCAGGCACGAATCAGCTGTGTGAGTATAGAGGTCACCCAGCTTCACAGCCGTTTCTCTTTATTAGGTACTCGTGCCCCGGTGCACAGATTTGTGCACATGGAAAGGAAATTAATTAGAGGGTGGCTGGCGGGGCAGGACTGGGTGAGAAGGGCCAGACATGCCCTGGAGCCAACTCCCGCAGTCCCTCCCCGGCCGGCCCCACCTGGGGAGGCGCTGCAGCTCATAGGGCATCTATGGAGTGAGCAGGTCCCTCCAGCAGGTGGGGTGCCTCAGCCTGGCCTGCGGGGATCGGGCCGAAACTGGCTCTCTGACATCCCGAGGGGTCCCAGAGTGCCAGAGGGCAGTTCTCTGGTGACGCACCCAGAATCGGGCTCCCTCCTCTCTGGTTCCAGGTGCGTCACCCGAGAACCACCGCTGCCAAGTCACCGCAGCTCAGCAGCTCCTGCGTTGAGCGTCTGGCCCCTGGTGGTCATTGTGCGTCATAGCTACCGGTCGGACGGTTGCTTAGCCTTTTATATATGTAGATTAGCACTTAGGTTTATTTCCCAAGGCTTTTGCATGGTGTAAATAAAGCAACATCTGTGAGGCACCTCGAATGTGTTCAGACAAATCTGGTTTTGTCTGGCTTCCCGCGTGTCATAAGGCTCCCACTGATGCGTACGCTCCGTGAGAGAAGGGGTCTCCTCCCGTGTTGTTTGCTATCGTTCCCCAAGCGTGTGGGATGGTGCCGGGCACGTGCTCACCCTGAACGCCCTGTTGAGTGACTGAATGAAACGGGGAGGGGATTGTCTTCCCTTCCCCTTTAGGCTAGTTCACAGCTCCCCTTGCCCAGTCCAGCCAGTAAGGGAAGCAAGTGTTCCATGGAGATGAGAGCTTTGAACAGGAAGGGGGAGATGAGGGGAGCGGGCGACCCGAAGGCCTCGGGGACAGTGGGGGCCGGGATCGCGGGGCCTGAGAGCCGTAGCTGAGGCTGGAACCGTGGCTCTCTCACAGGAAGGAGCAGCCTGTCTTCATGCCTGTGGTGCGGTAACCTTCACTCACATTTCTGCCGTTTCCTTGCATCCAGCACTTTTTCACGTCGTTCGGGGCCCGGGACAGGACGTACATGATGATGTTCCGGCTGTGGCAGAACGCGCTCCTCGAGAAGGTGAGCACTGCCCAGCTCCGCCCTGAGCCCAGGACCCGCTCCCACTCGCATGCCCTCCCCTCGGCGTGGGCCCTGTGCAGGGGCTGCTCTTTACCGGGGCGCTGGCCGCTCCCAGAGGCCCAGGTTTCCTCGTGGTCCGGGAAGTCCCCCAGACGTTCTCACAGGTGATGTCACCTGAGCCCTGGAAGTCGCCTGCCTCCCAGGGCCTGCTGCCTGGCCAGGGCCCTCCGGGATTTGTTCCTGTCAAGTGTGATAAGGCACAGACACGTGGAAGTGACTCTGAGTTTTATACTTACACATCTGCCCCCGGGGCAAAAGCGCGTCAGGCCACGCAGCCGCTGGGAAAGCGCAGGGGGTCGGGAGGCAGAGCCTGGGGAGCATGGGTGGGGCCTGAGCCTGTGAGGTTTTCCCAGGAAGGAACGGGGGAAGGCTCGGCTGGCAGGCCAAGCACACTTAGGATTGGATAGTTTGAACAATTGAGCAGGGCGTGGGGTATGGAGACTGCCTCTAGCTGCCTGGCACGCGTCCCTGGGGTGATGAGGGCAGGGGAATACGGGTGTGGAGCATGAGAGCTAGATAAAGAAGTTGGTGGGGGTACGGGCTTTGGATTGGCTTGTTACACATGGAAGGTGTGCCCTTAGGCAAGTTTTCTAGTGCCAGGATGAGCTGACACTGGGAGGGGCAGGTGCTCCCCGGTCAGCAAGACCTCAGATGCCAGAGCATCAAAAATATAGAAACCAGAGAAACAGTTAATGCAGCCCAGTGACTACTCGAGTGTTCGAAGGACACAGTGGAGACGCATAGATGAAGGAGGTGTCATGGTGCAGCCCTTGGAGAACTCCCCAAGCCCGAGAAGGAGACATGAGAAAAGATTATGTGATTATAGTTATACTAGAGGCCCAGTGCACAAAAATTTGTGCACTCGGGGGGAAGAGGGGGTCCCTCAGCCTGGCCTGTGCCCTCTTGCAGTCTGGGACCCCTCGGGAGATAACAACCTGCTGGCTTAGGCCTGCTCCCGGGTGGCAGAGGGCAGGCCCAATCCCTAGGTGCAGCCCCTGGTCGGGCTCAGAGCAGGGCCGATTGGGGAGTTGGGGTGCCGCCCCCTGTCATGCACAGAGCAGGGCGGATTGGGAGGTTGCGATGCCACCCTCAATCACACTCAAGATAGGGCCGATTGGGGGGTTGGGGCACCGCCCCCTGTCACACTCAAGGCAGGGTCGATAAGGAGGTTGCGGCGCCACCCCCTGTCACGCACAGAGCAGGGCCCATCAGGGGGTTGGGGAGCTCCCCCCTGTCACTCACAGAGTAGGGCCAATAGGGGAGTTGGGGCACCGCCCCCTGTCACGAACAGAGCAGGGCGGATAGGGAGGTTGTGGCCCCACCCCCTGTCACACACACAGCCACAGGGCGATCAGGGGGTTGGGGCGCCGCCCTCTATCACCCACAGAGCAGGGCTGATCAGGGGGTTGGGGCGCCACCACTGTCACACTCAGGGCAGGGCCGATGGGGAGGTTATGGCTCTACCCTGTCACACACAGAGCAGGGCCCGTGGGGGGGCGGGGGGGGGGGGGGGTTGGGGCGCCGCACCCTGTCACACACAGAGCCGCAGGGCGATCAGGGGGTTGGGGAGCTCCCCCCTATCAGGCACAGAGCAGGGCTGATCAGGAGGTTGGGGCGCCTTCCCCTGTCACGAACAGAGCAGGGCGGATAGGGAGGTTGTGGCCCCACCCCCTGTCACACACACAGCCACAGGGCGATCAGGGGGTTTGGGCGCTGCCCCCTGTCACACTGATCCCGGTGCCGGGAGGCCTCTCAGCTCCGCTGATCCCGGTGCTGGGAGGCCTCGCGGCTCCACTGATCCCGGTGCTGGGAGGCATATTACCCTTTTACTATATAGGATAGAGGCCTGGTGCATGAGTGGGGCTGGCTGGTTTGCCCTGAAGGGTGTCCTGGATCAGGGTGGGGGTCCCCACCGGGGTGCCTGGCCAGCCTGGGTGAGGGGATGATTGCTGTTTGCAGCTGGTCACACACCTTTCAGGGTGGGGGTCCCCACTGGGGTGCCTGGCCAGTCTGGGTGAGGGGCTGAGGGCTGAAGCTCCCAACTGCTCCTTTTTTTCTTTTTTGTTTTATTCTGGGCCAGCTTTAGCTCTGAGGCTTGGCTCCAGCTCTGCGGCCTCTGCTGCTGAAAGCAGGTATCTGGTTTGTTTGGGTTCTATAATCGAAACAACGTATAACTCCAGCTCTGAGATCCCAGCTAGCTGAAACCAGGTTTCTGGGGTTTTGTTTAGCTTGTATATTTGTTACAATGTTTCAAACTGCAGGCTCAGAGGCCGGCAAGGCAGGCGGGGAACGTTGGTTTCCTCCGTCACTGAAGCAAGCAAGCCTCATGTTAGTTTCAAGCTGCCTGGCTGCCGGCCGCCATCTTGGGTGGCAGTTAATTTGCATATCTTGCTGATTAGCCAATGGGAAGGGTAGCGGCTGTATGCTAAGTACCATGTTTCTCTTTTATTAGATAGGATTGTCTATGACATAACTAAGTATACGAGTGTATCTGCCTTGGCGGTAGCCCAAACTTACTACTATTTAAAGACCTTTGGGGGTCAAACGACCCTTTCACAGGGATCGCCTAAGACCATCGGAAAACACATATATAATTACAGTGGGGCCTTGACTTACGAGTGTCCCGACTAACGAGTTTTTTGAGATACCAGCTGTCTCTCAGCCGATTTTTTGCATTAAGTTGACAGAGTAATTTGAGTTAACGAGCTCCTTAACGAGCTCGGTCTCGGAACAAATTAAACTCGTAAGTCAAGGCCCCACTGTACATATTGTTTTTGTGATTAATCACTATGCTTTAATTATGTTCAATTTGTAACAATGAAATTGGGGGTCACCACAACATGAGGAACTGTATTAAAGGGTCGCGGCATCAGGAAGGTTGAGAACCACTGATTTAAAGGATAGTGAGTAGATTTATCATGTAGAGTTTGTTCCAACCCAAAGGCTGTTCAGCCCTGTGTGAGTCCTGTAACTTATTTGGTCTGAGCTCTCTGCCTTTATTAGCCATCAGTAATGGTAAAGCGATAACGAGTTTGAGTCTCCAGGGCAGGTTTGAATTTTCCGTTCACAATTACTGTCATTTCTACGGGAGACAGGTCATCCATGTGGCTCACTGACGTTCTAACCGAATGGCTGTAAGCCTTCTGCCTCATGAACAGGGTCTCCCCGTGGCGCTTGTCCTGACGGTGGCAGACAAGCTGAGCCCCGTGGAGCTGGCCAGGGAGGGCTGCATGGAGGAGGCGAATTGTTAAGAAGGGCAGAGAGGTAGATGTGGCCCAGGCAGGGTTAATGGTAGACAAAAGGCCAGAGAGAGGAGGAGGAGGCCCAGGTAAAGGAGAAGGCCTCCCTCTGGCGCTGTGAGAGCCAGCACAGAGCTGTCCTCCACCTCCCCCACCCCCACCCCCCCCACACACACCTCTACCCTGCGTCTCAGAGAGAGCCCTGCCTGTGTCGTCCTGGGCAGGTCTCTAGGCCCCTGGCTCAGGCACCCTCACAGCCCCTGCTTCTTAAACTCTGCCTTGAAGAGCACTCGGGCTCTTTATCACATCGTTGGTGGGAAACGTGCTGTAAGTTCGCCTCTGGAAGCAGAGGCGCATCACGCCAGGCAGGGCCACGGGGGAAGCGTGGGCGGAGCCTGCGAGGCTTTCCCAGGGAGGAATGGGTGAGGCAGGGTAGGCCGGCCAAGCAGACTTGGGATTGGCTAGTTTGAGTAATTGAATCATTTTTAATGATGTTGACTGCTTCTGTTTTTCTTAGCGATCTTGCCCTCCTTTTTCATAGACTTATGCCCACCACCTTCTCCCCCTCCTCCAACCCCAGGCGCATCCATGGTCTCCATCTCTGATCTCAGTTCTTTGAAAATCGGTTGCCTCTTTCCCAAATCTTTGAACTTCATGAGCGCTAACTTTTCTTAGGATCGTGCTTTTAAGGAGGAAATGGAGACACCCAGAGAAATAGAAAAACTGGAACTGGTACCTGGGGCTGAGGGCAAACTGCTTCTATTGAAGAATAAAGAAGGAAGGATTGAGGTGGCCAGGAGAGGGCAGCGACCTTTGGGGCCCCTTAAACTCCGAGAAGCCTCCCATGGCTTCTTTCTGGCCACGGGAGCGGCGCCGCCCTGCAGGGCCACCTCTGAGGCCGCCTGGCTCTCGGACGTGGCCCAGCGGGGTGTGCCTGGCGCTGTCAGTGCAGATTTCTGCAGCGTCAGGGAGGCTGGCTCAGAGGGTCTCTGCCGCGCATCCCACGTCCAGACCAGAAGCCCTGTGGCCGGTCACCCTGGCCCACGGGGACCCCAGTTCATGCTGCGTAACGATGAGCCCCTCCAGAGGAGCCGAGAGCGGACAGTGGCCGTCCTCACGGGCCGTGGGCCCCGTGGGCCGGAGTTGTGTGAACAGGCCCAGTCCCGGCTGCGATAAAAGACATCGTCTTGGGCAGAAGAGCGGGGTCTTGAGATCCTGCAAGGCGGGCCGGGGAGGTGCCGAGGCGGTCATGGAGGCCTGGCTCTCTCGGTCCAGCCAAGGGGAACCCTCGGAGACCAGCTCACTCGGCGCCTCCGTGGGGAGGGTCCCAGGAGGCAGGTCCCAGGAGGCGGACCAGTGTCCCTGTTGTCCCTGCAGCCGCTGTGCCCCAAGGAGCTCTGGCACTTCGTCCACCAGTGCTACGGGAGCGAGCTGGGCCTGACCAGCGACGACGAGGACTACGTGCCCCCCAGTGACGACTTCAACACGATGGGGTGAGAGAGGGGACGGCTGCCCAGGGAGTCTTTCCCCGAGGGGCGAGGACAGCAGTGAGGGCCGCGGTGGGGATGGCACCTCAGGACAGCCCCAAAGGACAAAGGACGTGAGGGGCGACCCAAGAGTTGCCTCTGGGAAGGCCTTCCTCTGGGGGAACGGGGGAGCAGGAGCTGGCGCTCGGCGGGTGGGAAAAGGGCAAATGGGAGAGGCCGGGTCAGGGAGTCAGCAGGCAGGTTCGCGGGGCCTTTGGGCCAACGTGACGCTGTCTTTTACTCAGAGGCGGTGAGAAGGCTGTGAGCAGATCATTGATAATATCTGGCTTCACGTTTCGACAGGACCCCTCTGGCTCCTGGGTTGAATGGAGCAAAGGGGGTGCACGGACTGGCTGGGAGGCTGCTGAGGCATTGAGGTCATTTAGAGGGGACGTGAGGGGGTTTGGACCAGGAGGTGACAGTGGGAATGGAAATGAGCGGTCAGTCTCTGAGTATATTTTGAAGGTAGAACCAGAAGGATGTTGCAGGATTTGCTGGTGGATCCAAAGGGAACCACTGGTGGCTTTGCGTTTTCCTTGGATTTACCAACTGGAAGGACAGAGTTGCTCCAAACTGAGGTGTGCAGGAATAGGGCAGCACGACTTCGGGGGGAAGGACGGGAGCTTGGCTTCAGGCAACTTGAGTTTGAGAGGACTGCTGTCCAAGGGGAGGCACCCGCAGGTGCCGGCAGGTGCGGAGTTCACTGGGGGTCTGGGCGAGGGACATCCCTGGGAGCACAGCAGGCAGCCCTGAGCTCGCTGACGCCCAGGTGCCTGAGCGGATGTAGGAAGAAGGTCAAGAGCAGGGCCTGGAAATCCTGGCCGAGAGGACGGAGCAGCTGAAGGAATCGTGGAAGAGCCTTCAGTGGGGTGGGAGGGACCTGGACTTTCGTGTGCTGGAAGCCACGGGAAGGAGCCTGTAAGGAGAAGGAGGTGTCCCTGTGTCGCATGCCGTTGGTGGTGAAGGAAGAGGGGCTGCGGAGTGACTCGGCGTGCTTGAGGTCTGGAGGCCGGCGGTAGTGAGAGGCACCGAGGGGGAGGAAGCCAGGAGCGCTGGGTGTGTGGTCCGGAGACCGGGCTCCGGGACGATTCCTGAGACCTGAGGGTGCTGTCACCCCGCTCCTGCGGCGTCTACTTGATTGTCTCTAAATGCACGTGGTGACTCGCTCAGACGCGCCCGGTGAGGTCGTGTGTAAGGTGTGGGTCCGATGTGGTGACAACGTCTCCCTTCTTCGGGGCATGTGGCGTGTCTGTGGTGACCCTGAGGGCGCCCACCTGTAGCCCAGGAGGGCTCCCCACAGGGGCACAGGGCCAGGAAGTTGGCCAGCTGTGACCTGGGCTCTGGACAGGACCCCACAGGCACTCGTGTCTGAGTTCTGTGCCCGTCACTGTGTGGGGAAGAGCATGTACGCTCAGAGCCCAGGTGTTCGATGCAAATGGTCAGGTTGGGATGGGATGCCGGGGGGAGGGGGAGAGGGAGGGATAGTTTAAGACAATGGTCCTACTTTAGGAATAAATCTAAAGGTGAGTTTGGAGCCAGAAAGTTTACTTGGCGTTGGGGGTATAAGGTGGGAAGGAGGTTTTAGGAGGGTTTTAGGGGGGCAGTAGTAGTTGGAGGAGGATCAGGTGCAGAGCAGAGACGCAGGGAAGCCACCGTTTTGGATGGGTGGGAGGGTCTGGTTCTTAGAATAGCTTCGTCCCTGAGGTTAGCGTGGTTCGTGGTGCCTTTTTCAGCTACTGCGAGGAGATCCCTGTCGAAGAGAATGAAGTGAATGACAGCTCGTCCAAAAGCAGCATAGAGACCAAGCCGGATGCCAGCCCACAGCTGCCCAAGAAGTCCGTCACCAACAGCACGCTGACGTCCACCGCCAGCAGCGAAGCGCCCGTCTCGGTACGGTGAGCCCGCCGCCCCCCCTCCAGGGCCCGCCGTCCTCGCCGCGCTCGTGCAGGGGCAGGGGCCTGGGGAGTGGGCAGAGGGCAGGGGTTGCACTGCAGCCAGCTATGCAAGGAGGCCCCCTGGAGAGACGGGCTTGCTCCACGGTGACGGGGTGGCCGGCACTAGTGCTGGGTTCTCGGTGTCTCAGGCAATGATTTTGTTTGGCTTCTGAGCAGATGAAAACCATCCAGGTTCACCGGGTGCGCTTCATCCAGGTTCTCTGCGGACGCCTGGCTCAGCCCCTCTGGGGGAGAGCTGTGCCGGTCTTGCTTTCACCGCCTTGATCTGAAGGCGAAGTTGTATGTGAATATAAGACTACTAGAGGCCCGGTGCACGAAATTTGTGCACGGGTGTGGGGGGAGTCCCCTCAGCCCAGCCTGCACCCTCTCCAATCCAGGACCCTTCGGGGGATGTCCGACTGCCCTCTCACTATCCTGGACCGCTGGCTCCCAATTGCTCACCTGCCTGGTTGCCCCTAACTGCCCCCCGCTGCTGGCCATGTTGCCCCTTATTGTCCCCCCTGCCCGCCAGCCTGGTCACCACTTACTGCCCACCCTGCTAGCCTGGTCACCCCTAACTGCCCCCCCTGCTGGCCTGGTCACCCCCTATTCCCCCCCCTACCAGCCTGGTTGCCCCTCACAGCCCACCCCCACCCACCTGGTCGTCCCACACAGCCTGCTGGTCAGTCGTTTCATCATCCTTCACTAACCCCCTTGCTGGCCTGGTCGTCCCACACAGCCTGCTGGTCAGTCGTTTCATCATCCTTCACTAACCCCCTTGCTGGCCTGGTCGCCCCACACAGCTGGCTGTTCAGTCATTTGGTCGTCCCTCACTAACCCCCCTGCTGGCCTGGTTGTAGACAGCCATCTTGTGAGGATGTGAGGGTTAATTTGCATATTACCTCTTTATTATAGAAGATAAGACTGTTGTCTGCTTATTGGTTGACTCCGTAGAGACTAGTTTGAGTCCCTAGTGTGCACACTGCTTTATTTTCTCACTGTTGGACTTGGTGAAAGAGACAAACATGTGTAAGAGGGACCTCCCTCTGTCCCTGGGCTCGGCCAGAGGAGAGAGGAGCTCGATGGAGGGAGGGTCTGGGGAGCTGCCAGGTGGACTGGCGGGTCCTCGGGAAAGAGTCCCAGGACAGGAGCCGTGTGCGCGGCGGCATAGCGTCAGCCTCCTGGCCTTAGGGCCAGAGCCGAGTCTCCAGTCTCCACCTCTGGGGCTGTATCTGTTCCCGCCGAGGGCTAGTGGGAAGATGAATAAAAAATGCTACGAAGCCCTGGTCGGGTTTCTCAGTGGTTAGAGCGTTGGCTGCACCTCAGGGGGTCGTGGGTTCGATGCCCGTCCTCTGTTGGGGAGTGTGTGGGAGGCAACCAGCCGGTGTGTCTCTCTCACATCGAAGTTTCCCTCTCCCTCCCCTTGCCCTCTACTCTCTCTGAAAAAAAAAGGGGGGGGGAAATATCCTCACCCCTTGAGCAAGGATTTTAAAAGATGCTTATGGAGCCTTTGAGCCTCTTAGAAAACAGGCCCCAGGGAGAAGCAGGCCGACGCTGTCCGGTCGCAGCCGTGCTCCGCTCTGGGGGGGGCCTGTGGCAGAAGGAGCCACCCTGCCCTCCGGCTTGCTGTGCCGTTTGGTGGACAGCAGGGGCAGAACTTGCCCGGTTCCTGGCCTCCACGTGGGGGACGACCCAGGCCAGATGCCAGCCCGGCTGCTGCTGTGAACGGGAGGGCGCCGAGCCTGCCCAGCTCCCCGTTGGGTGACTCTCTGTCTCCACCCAGTTTGATGGGCTGCCCCTGGAGGAGGAGGCGCTGGATGGCGAGGGGCCCCTGGAGAAGGAGCTGGCCATGGACAGCATCATGGCAGAGAAGATGGAGATCCTGGCACCGGTGAGCTCCCCTTCACTGGACTTCAACGACAACGAGGACCTCCCCACCGAGCTCAGCGACTCCTCCGACACCCACGATGAAGGTGGGCAGGGGTTTGGGGGAAGGGCCTTCCTCCTCCGTGCTGAGGGCTGGAAAGGTGCCCCAGGTGGAGGCCGAGTCGGCCGGCTCCGGGGGGAAGGCCGGTGGGCAGCAGAGCCGTTTTAAAGGTTCACTGGTTACCCGCGCGGACCCCTCTTCAGGGCCTTGCTTGCAGGAACGTCATTGTTCCCGCTTTGTCTTTCTTTGCTCAGCAGCTGAGTGCCCTGTCCTGCTCCCCAGGCCTGCCACTCACTTTACCCCCCTCCCACGCTGGCGCTGGCTGGCCCTGAGCGCTGTCCCTCCCAGGGGCGGGCAGTGTCTGCGGCCTTAGGAAGCGCAGCCTGAGCTGCACCTGGAAGGCAGTAGCTGTGATAGAAACTGGCTGTAGTGCCTGCAGGGGGATAGGAGACCCGGACCCTGCCCTTCTCCAAGGTTCTCAGAGAACAGCCCTCACTTCCTCCCGCTGCTCTGGCCTCACTCTGCTGCTTGCGGTCAGGGCGGAGCCAGGCGCAGTGTTGGTGGGCTTGGTTGGTGGTGTGTGTGCCTCCATGGAGGAGGGGCCGGTGCTGACCTGGTGAGCAGATGGAGACTGCGCATTCATCGCTGTGGTCTTTCCCGGGGTCTCATCCCCACTGCCCCACCCCCCCCATGGCCTCCTTGGTTTCCCCACCCCCGTCCCAGGGGCAGGGCCGGCGAATGCATCCTGACCGGGGTGCCATTCATGCAAACTGACAAGTCAGCGTTCTCTCCCATACAGTCCTGGGCACGGACCCTGTAGGATGCCCCTGAGCTCCTCCCTGGCCCCTCAGGGTCTCGGGGCGCTTGAGACCCTACAGCAGGGGCTGCTGTAGTCATCGGCTGTGGGCACCCAGGCCTCGGGGGAAGCACGGGGGCTTCAGCCGCTCACCTGTACCCTCAGCCACATTCTCCTGGCGCAGACAGAAACTCCAGACATTTAGAAGTCACTGCCCGCCTGCCAGGGCTCAATGGCTGAGCGTCAGCCTATTGACCAGGAGGTCACAGTTCGATTCTCGGGGGGGGGGGGGGGGGCACAGGCCCAGGTTACAGGCTCGATCCCCAGTGGTGGGGGGAGGGGGCGGGCAGGAGGCAGCGGATCAATGATTCTCTCTCATCATTAATGTTTCCATCTCTCCCTCTCCCTTCCTCTCTTAAAAATAAATAAGTAAATAAATGTAAAAGCTGTTGGAATCGTGGAGGCTGGGCTGCTTATGGAAGGAGAGGAGCCCTAGCGATCATGGCCTGCAGAGCCGCCTCAGAAACTTGCACAAACTGATGACTGCAGGGAGTCAGTGTCTTGAGCTCACCTCTGCGGGCAGTGCCATTCGCCGGCGTGTAGACGCGATGGCTGGTCCTCCGGGTCCCGGCGAGCCCGGGAAGTAGCCATGTGTGTAGATCTTAGTCTGAGGTAGCTACCTTCATGAGGGAGCGTGAACGTGTAAAAGCAGACGGCACATTCCCGAACTCTCTGTCAGGGCTGAATGCAGGGACTGGCATCAGAGGAGTGTGTGTGCCCGGGACGGAGGAGGCAGCGCCCACTCCACGGCTCCTCGCCCCGCGGTGGCCGCGCCCGCAGCAGCCCCCGGACATCGCCCTGTGTCCCCCGGGCACCGCCTCACAGTCCCTGCCGTCCTCTCTGCAGGGGAGGTCCAGGCCTTCTACGAGGACCTGAGCGGCCGGCAGTACGTGAATGAGATCTTCAACTTCAGCGTGGACAAGCTCTACCACCTCCTGTTCACCGACTCGCCCTTCCAGCGCGACTTCATGGAGCAGCGGCGCTTCTCAGGTGCTCCTCCGGGGCCGGGGCTGGCACCACCCTCCTGCCACCACCCTCTGTCCTCTCTTCCGAGCACCTCCTCCCCAGGCCACGCTCCCGCAGGGCTCTGCTCCTCCCGCCCCAGGGCTGCAGTGTGGGCTCGCCCACCGGGTGCCGGGCCACGGGCTCGCAGAGGCCCAGGCCGTGCAGGGCACCGTCTCGTCAAGAGCAGCAGCTGCCACTCACTGGTTAGGCGCCTGCTGTGTGCCAGGCACCGTGCGTTACCGTCTAATCCTCACACCTGCCCCGTGTGCGAGGATGGTGACCCCCACGAGCCCTCGAGGACACTGGGACTCAGGCTGGGCTGAGCTGGGCTTCGAACCCAGGAGTCCCGAGGCCATGCCTTATGCCTCCCTGCTCCTGTCCCCTCCCTGCGCCCCGTCCTGGCCCAGCGAGGCACCGCGTCTGAAAGAGCAGCTGGGCCTTGCGCAGCCTGCTGCCTGGAGGGGAGGGCACGGAGGACATGGCTCAGAGGAGGGGCTTGTTCCCAGGGTCCCAGGCCCTCATCACAGTCCCGCCAGTGTTGCCAGCGTCCCTGTGGGCGGCCCCAGGACCTCCTGCCCCGTCCGGGAACAGTCAGTGTGCGGAGCCTGGGCAGAGCCTGCGGTGCCACAATGAGCCTCTTTCTGCGGAACTCCCCCTCCCCCAGCCTCTCTCTGCCCTCGGGCTCCCCTTGGCTTCCTAGGAGGCCAGTGGCTCTGCTGGGTCATCAGAAGTTCCCTGGAGGGAAAGCCGCTGGGGAGGCACCCTCCTCACTGCAGGGCTCTCGCCCCTCAGATATCGTCTTCCACCCCTGGAAGAAGGAGGAGAACGGGGACCAGAGCCGCCTGATCCTTTACACCATCAACCTCACCAACCCGCTGGCTCCCAAAACGGCCACCGTCAGGGAGACACAGGTGAGGCGGGAGCAGGGGCGGCCGGCGGCCTCGTCCTGCGGGGAAGGTGCAGCCAGACGTGCGGGAGTTCCGGGTGCAGGTGCTCCTGGACACGCAGCCGGTCGCATGCTCAGACGCCGCCATTTCCAGCGGCGCCGGGTCCTCCGTTCAGACGCGGGGTCGGGTGGGGCGACGAGGGCAGGGGTCCCTCCCCGCGTTGCTCCTCGGCCGCATGTCCGCGCTTCCTCCCCGCAGACCATGTACAAGGCGAGCCAGGAGAGCGAGTGCTACGTGGTGGACGCCGAGGTCCTGACCCACGACGTGCCCTACCACGACTACTTCTACACCGTCAACCGCTACACGCTCACGCGCGTGGCCCGCAGCAAGAGCCGGCTCAGGTGCGCTCGCCGCGGCTCGCCGGAAGGGTCTGGAAGGACGCTCACGAGGTCCTTACGCGGGGAACATGCATTTGCTCCCGAGGAAGGAGGAGGAGGCGGTGGGAGATGGGCCTGCTGGCCGTCCCTTCTCCGCCTTCTTTCCAGTCGCTCTCAGACCCTCTGTCCTGACGGCTGTTCTCACCGCGCCTGCTCGCTGCGCTCTGCTTGTCTGTAGTGCAGTGTCTGTAGCTGCTGCTGCTGCTTGTGGTCTGGTTTTAAAGTGCTGTCTGGAAGGTGCGTTCTTTAGAATGACCAAAGGAGGTGGGCTTATTCCCACTTTTCAGACTAAAAACAAGGGCTGTAAGTGGAGTAGCTTTGCCAAGAGTCAGATTCCCTGTGAGCCTGAGACCAGGTCTAGGAGCCAGCCTCGGCCCCTTCCACCGGCGGCGCCACCTGCCACGCACGCCCTGGCACAGCGAGCCCGGCACAGGGCCGGCCCCGGGGCCCCTGTTCCCAGCCCTCAGCTCAGGGCCTAGGCCCTCAGCATGCACATGCCTCGGGTGATGGCGTGAGTGATAGCATCTGCCGTGGGCAGGACCGGTCCGGGCACTGGGATGTGCATTCGAGGAGGAAGGAGCTTGGACCCTGAAATCTGAAGAAGCCGTAACCTGGAAAGCCTGGCCCTTTGTACTCCATAAGCGTCTTTAGACGCCAGCAGCGGACCTGCCCCACACGCCGGGCGTCTGTAGCCACAAACCTCACATGTTAACGCTGGTCGCCCAGTGTAAAGTCAGACTTGCTGGTGACCCCTCCGGGTTTGTAAAGAAGATGGTGGTAACTTAAATTCGCAAAGATTCCAGCGCATGTGGAAGAAGCTCCAATGTCATGGTTTCCGTTTAGACGCGTGGCCGTTAGCTGGCTAGAAATCCCCCCCCCGCCCCCCCCCAGTGACGGTTACAGACCTGATCTCGGGCCACGGTGCTTTGGTTGCACGGAGGGAACTCACTCGTGTCGTTTGAATAAAATCGCTGCTTAGTGAGAAGCTCAGAGAGATGCCTGGAACCAGGACGATCTGAACACCACACCCGACAAAGGGCTGCACCTGCTCATCGCCTTCTGACAAGATGTTTGTTTTGCTGTCTGCACAGCTCTCAGCATCTGCTCCTCCTGCCACCTCCCTCCCACCTCTCCCTCCTTCTCCCTTCGCTCTCCTCCCCCACCTCCTCTCCCTTCACCTCCCTCCTCTCCCTTCACCTCCCTCCTCCACTCCCTCCTTCTCCCTTCGCTCTCCTCCCCCACCTCCTCCTCTCCCTTCACCTCCCTCCTCCTCTCCCTCCTTCTCCCTTCGCTCTCCTCCCCGACCTCCTCCCATCCCTTCACTTCCCTCCTCTCCCTTCTCTCCCTTTACCTCCCTCCTCCCTTCGCTCTCCTCCCCCACCTCTTCCCCACAGTGTCTGGGTTCTCCACTCCCGCCTCCTTGGAGGAGCTTCTGAATGGCTGTTCTTTCTGTGCACTTCTCACCACAGTAGCTTGTTCCCCAGATAGAACATTCCAGAGGGGTCCCCCAGCCCAGTGAGCAGGTGGTGGGCGGGCGGCGATGGCTGCATAAGCAGCTCACCGCAGGCTCAGGCATGGCTGGCGTCCCTGAGGGAGAAGACGGGCAGGACAGTCAGCCTGGAGCAGGGACACAAGCTGGAAGGAAGTCGGGCGGATGAGGATGAGCTGGGGAGAGGCACAGGCCCCGGCTGCCTGGGGACATGAGGCGGGAGGGGCGGCCGCAGCCAGGCTGGTGCTCCTCCAGGGAGAAGCGATGAAGCCCAGAGCCCGGTGGAGAAGGAGAGGTGGCCACGGCTGGCGGCTGCTGGGCACCCTCGGGCACCGCGGAGGCAGTGGCGGCGTGAGATCCCTCTGGACCCGGCTTTGGCGCCTCGGTAGCCTTCGTCGGCGGGGATATCTGAGACTCAGGGAGGTTCCTCCTAAAAGCGAGGCCACAGCCCTGGCGCCACCGACCTCAGAGGGTGGCCGTGGGGGTGATGTGCGTGGAGCCGCCCCGGACCAGGGCCCCGGCTGACCTTCCGGGAAGCGCTGACCTCGGTCTGGCTTGTCGCAGGGTCTCCACTGAGCTGCGCTACCGCAAGCAGCCCTGGGGGCTGGTGAAGACGTTCATCGAGAAGAACTTCTGGAGCGGCCTGGAGGACTACTTCCGCCACCTGGGTGAGCGCCGCGGGGACCCGGGCGGCCGGCACGTTCCGGGGAGGAAACGTGGAGAATGGGAGCGGCGGGCACAGTGGAGGGTCACGGGCCCTGAGCCTGCCCGAAGCGCACACAGGTGTGGCCCGGGTGTGAGCACGTGCCCGTCCCAGAGCCCGCCTGCTCTGGGCCGTGTCCCGGGACCTGTGACCCTGCAGGGAGCCCGAGGTCCGTCGCAGGGAAGAGGGTGGTGGCGGGAAACGCTGTGGAGGCACCGTAGGGAAGCGCGATGCCCTCAGCGGCGCACCTGAGCGTGCAGGTGGCTGGAGCCCGTCGCCACACAACCATGGCCGACCCACAGGGGTTGGGCTGGGCTGGGTCCCCGCAGGCCCTCCCTGTCCACGCCCCCCGCTCCTGAGGGAGGCCTTGCTGGGGGCAGATGGGGGCTCCGGAGGCGGGAGGGCAGGGGAGGGGGAGAGGCAAGGGGCGGGGCAGTGGGCAGGGAGCCGCTGACGGCTCCGTCTGGCAGAGAGCGAGCTGACCAAGATGGAGAGCAGCTACCTGGCTGAGACGCACAGACAGTCTCCCAAAGAGAAGGCCAGCAAAGCCCCGGCCGTGCGGCGGAGGAAGCGCCCCCACGCCCACCTGCGGGGACCTCACCTGGAGGAGGTGCTGAGCCCCGTCACCACGCCCACCGACGAGGACGTGGGCCGCAGGGCCAAGCATGTGGCAGGTGGGCGCTCTGCGTGTGCCTGTGCCTGTGCGTGTGTGCACCTATGCCCATGTGTGTGCGTGTGTGTGCATGTGCCTGTGCGTGTGTGCGCCTGTGCCTGTGTGTGTCTCTGCCTATGTGTGTGCCTGTGTGTGTGTGCCTATGCATGTGCCTGTGCGTGTGTGTGCCTGTGTGTGTGCGTGTGTGTGCGCTTATGTGTGTGTGCGTCTGTGTTTGTGCGCGTGTATGTGCCTGTGCGTGTGTGTGCCTGTGTGTGCGTGTGTTTGTGTGTGTGCCTGTGGCTGTGGGTGTGTGCGCCTGTGCATGTGTGCGCCTGTGCGTGTGTGCGCCTGTGTTTGTGTGTGTGCCTGTGGCTGTGCCTATGTGTGTGCGTGTGTGTGCCTGTTTGTGTGTGTGCCTGTGGCTGTGCCTCTGTGCGCGCGTGTGTGCCTGTGCCTGTGTGTGCCTGTGCCTGCGTGTGTGTGCGTGTGCGTGTGCCTGTGCATGTGCGCGCTTGCATAGAGGCTGTGTATCACTTGCATGGAGCCGTTAACACTAAGTCTCTGTGCCCTCCTATTGCCATTGCCCTCCCAGTTCCTCAGCCCCTGCTGGCCCACCGTGTGCTTTGCTGGGCAGAGCTGCCTTTGGTGGTGCCCCCAGCTGCCTGAGCACCACGTGCACCCGACAGACTCGAGTGTGCACTTCCCAGGTTGTCAGGAAATGCGCCAGGGCAGCCAGAGCTCAGCCCCAGACAGTGACCACCTCCCAGCCGAGGTTGGGGTCCAGGCAGCCCCCACGCGGCCCCCATGGGCCCACCAAGGACCCGCCCTACTGGGTAGCAGACGCCCTTGATGCGTCCCCCTCTTCCGTCAGCCGTCCAGCCTCACGTCTCCCTCAGGCATGGAGACCTGCACCTGTGAGAGGCCTTGGACCTCACTGATCAGGGTTTCCACACGGCGCTCCCACACGCCTGGGAGTTCCCCGGAACGGACGGGACGGGAGGGGCAGGAGCTGGGCAGAGTGGCCGCCAAGGCCTCCCTGCTCCCACCAGCCCAGGCTGCGTCCTCCATGCGGGAAGCTGGCGAGCGCTGCCCTGAGCCGGTGCGCACTGGCATGGCCGGTGTGGAGGACGCGAGCCGACAGCGTCTGTCCCAGCCCAGCGCCCGTCCCGCCCGTCACGGCTGCAGGCCGCTCTGCCCTCACTGCCTGCCCTCGCTGCGTGTCCTCGCTGCGTGCCCTCGCTGCCTGCCCTCGCTGCGTGTCCTCGCTACGTGTCCTCGCTGTGCGGGCCGGCTGAGTTTCTTTTATTCGGTGACTTGAATATCCACTTGGCCTGACCCCACCCACTGTCCTTCCCGGGGGTTCTGTGCGCAGCCAGTGTCTCGGCAGCCTCTGTGGACTTGTGGGCGTGATGGTGACGCCTCTGTTTTCTCCGCAGGTTCCACACAGACACGGCATATCCCTGAGGACACCCCCAACGCTTTCCACCTGCAGAGCGTGTCCAAGCTGCTGCTGGTCATCAGCTGTGTGTAAGGACCCCAGGATCCCCCGACCCCTCTCCACCACTGCCTCTCCCCCTGCCCCCCTCTCCCCCCAATCCCACTGCCACCTCTCCCCCTGCCCCCCTCTCCCCCCACCCACTGCTCCCTCTGCCCCTGCCCCCCTCTCCCCCAATCCCACTGCCACCTCTCCCCCTGCCCCCTCTCCCCCACCTACTGCCGCCTCGCCCCCGCCCCCCTCTCCCCCCCACTGCCGCCTCTCCCCCCTACCTCCTCTCCCTCCCCACTGCCGCCTCTCCCCCCTACCTCCTCTCCCCCCTCACTGCCTCCTCTCCCCCCTACCTCCTCTCCCCCAATCCCACTGCCGCCTCTCCCCCCCGCCCCCCTCTCTGCCCACCCACTGCCGCCTCTCCCACTACCTCCTCTCCCCCAATCCCACTGCCGCCTCTCCCACTGCCCCCCCTCCCCCACCCACTGCCGCCTCTCCCCCTGCCCCCCTCTCCCCCACCCCACTGCCGCCTCTCCCCCCAGTCCCCTCTCTGCCCACCCCACTCCTGCTGCTGCCTCCCCCCCACCCTCCACCTCCCCAGTCCCCGCAGGTGCATGAGCACGCTTACTGTCCTGGGGTTGTGTCCTCTCGTCTCCCCTCTCCGGATCAGTGTCTGTGTGTCATTTCTGGCCTCTTTGCTTCGTTTCCTGTGGCTTATCCAGCAGCTACTATGCCAGGCCTCCAGGATGCACGCAGCACCCATGGCCTCTGGGAACTCAGCCTCAAGTGGGTGGTGCAGACAGGACGTTCACAGCGGCCCAGCCTGGCCTGGCCTCTCGCCGGGCCTCTCGCAGAGCCCATTAGGGGCCCTCACTGTGGCGAGAGACGCTCTGGGGTCTGCTCTGTGCCGGGAATTAGAGCCGTGCCCTCGGGCCCACACGCTGGCGAGTGCCAGGCAACACCATGACCAGCCCAGGAAAAGGACATGCTGACTTCATTGTCAGCAATCTAGAGCCGCTGCCATCACGCTGTAAAACTGGGCTCCGTGGTTCGCACGGCGGGTGCTGGGCTGGGAGAACGTGAGCGGAGAGCAGGGAGCCGTGCGGTGGGCGAGCACAGCTGGTGGATGCGCGCGGCCAGGCCTCCGACCACCTGCAGCAGGAGCCGTGGGCGGCCATGCAGGCAGCTCTTCCCGCCTGGGCCGGCCCGTCCTGGCCGCCTTTCTGGCCGCAGTGCTGTGAGGACGTGGGGCCCGGGCGGAGTGGGGGGCGCTGTCCAGCCGCTCGCTCCGCCAGCGCTTCTCCGGGCACTGGGCTGTCCAGGTCAGTCTGCTCCTGTGAACCGCACAGGGGGCGGGGGGCACCCCCAGGTCTCAGGAGAGGCAGCAGCGAGGACCCGGCCCCGCCCTCAGGAAACGGCAGGAAGCCCGGGTAGCGGGTGGGCTTTGCATTTGGAAGAGCCTCGCTCCCACCCCCTCCCTCGCCCTCCCCTCGGGAGGCACTGATGCCTGAGCCAGAGGAGAGGCCTAGGGGCCAGAGGCCAGGAGGAGTGACCGCGGGGGGGCAGGGGGGCAGGTGTGCTGGCGGCCTGAGAGGAGGGGCGGGGACGCTGGTCACAGGGAAGGGAGGGCCTATGCTCCCGTCTGTAGATGGTGTGTCACTAACAGGGATCTGGAACGTGGTGAAACCGGAGGTTCCCAGACGCAGGTGGGGAGGGACGCTTGGTGGGACCTGGGCTCCGGAGGGAAGTGGGCGCAGGTGCTGGGTTATTGACAGGCAGCAGCCCCCGTGGGTGTGGCTGACATCACCCGGGATAGAGTGAGAAGGTGGGGCTGAGGACAGACCGGCGCCCATGCAGGCCAGGAGCCGGCGGGTTCCCGGTCGGCCTCCTTGGCGACCCCTGAAGGCCCGGGGCAGGCCGCAGCAGGGCCCTGTGCCTGACAGTCTTTGAGTTAATGAGGTTATTGTAAAACCCATAGCCCGCGCTTTTCCATACGCACACCCTGTGTAACAAGAAGTGACGTTCTTCTGAATGGGGCCTAGGAAGCCTAGATATTTACCACATTAAACACAAAGGCAGCTGTAAACCAGCACGATTGACACTGAGCGTCAGCGCTTTAAAGCTACCCGTGCTGTTGAGACCAAGTCTCCGATGTGAGGTTTGTGGATGGAGAACCAGCCACAGGTGATGGTGTTTGCCCTCTGGCTACGCTGGGACGTGGCGTAAGTAGAGAAGGCGCTCGCCCGTGCTCACCGCATGGCGGGCATCGGCCCTCGGGCTTGGCCGCTTCCCAGCAATCAGGCCTCCTCGGGCAGCCCGGGGGGTCTGCGGGCAGCGTGCGGACGGGCTGTAACAGCCAGTTGGCCTGCGTCCGGCCAGCCGAGCCCCACATGCCGGCCCGGCCCACCTTCCTCTCTGCTCAGAGCACTTCTGAGCCTGCACTCACACGACCTCCTGCGACCTCCACTGAGCAAGACCCAGAGCAGCTGCCCAGCTGGTGTGCAGCTCCCACTGGAAAGGTGGGCGGTGTAGGCCGGCCCCTGACATTCGGCCAGAATTGGGGGCCTGTGGGGACTGGGAGCCTGAGAACACCACTGAGTAGCCTCGGGGATTGGCAGGTGTCAGTGGGATGCACAGGTGAGAAATTCAGCAACTTACACACATGCACACACGCACATGCACACACATGTACACATGCAAACACACATGTGCGCACGCACCCACTCACGTAGTTTGTAAGGTCGAAGGCACAGCACAGGTTTTCTTTCGTTGTGCTCTCCATCCGTCTGTTCACTTTGTCTTCCCACCTACCACCCCTTCCCTGCGTGTGCCTGTGCCTCCTCCTCCGTGAAGGCGACGCCTCGTAGAGGGTCTCCCGTGTGCAGGATGCTCCCGCGCCGCCCTCTGATCCACGTAGCAACCCGCAGCATAGGTGTCCTTGTCCCGTTGAGGAGCCGGCTCTCTGAAGGGCTGGCAGGCTTGATCAGAGTTAACCTGTGAAGTGACGAGCCAGGGGTGCAGCGCTTCTGCACGTCTGGGTCCCCTCTTTGCCTGAGTCTGCATCCCCTTGTCCCAGGAACTGTCACAGAGGGGCCTCCAGGCAGCCCCTGAGCCCCAGGAGAAGTTTATCTCCCGGTGACTCCCTCCCCACTGGCCCTCCGACCCCAGGGTTGTCCTGCCACCCCCTCTCCCTGTAGCCTGGCGCCTCACCCTCCCCGGACCCCTTAGGCCTGTGGCAGGTGCAGGGGGCAGACTGCACTCAGGCCAGTTCTGCCAACATCAGGAGGTTCCCAGGGCAGAGCCAGGAGTCCCCCTGAATTCCTCCTGCCATTGCCTTCGGTGGTGGTGGTGGTGGTGGTGGTGGTGCCGCCGGTGCCGGGGGGCGGGGGCGCGCAGGGGGGCTGCTGAAGGAATCTTAGCCCCGCTGATCGCCCTGGAAATCCCAGGCTGCTTGCAGTGCTGCCCTGCACCCCTCCTGCTGGTGCTCAGAGGTGTGTGCTCCCAGGGCTCCTCGCACAGGTCCCCTGCCTCTGCGTAAGCGCAGTCTCTCCTCCCCACACAGGTCTCTTAGCCAGCCTGCTCCCCACTTTCCTCCCCGCTCCCATTAGGATCGACTCCAGGTACTGGCTCTGACGGCCTCCTTCCCCTCTCATCTCTTTCCTCTCCATCTGACCACCCCCGCCCCCGCCCATGCCCTCACCCCACACCTTTCCAGATTAGAATTCCGCCCCCCCCCCCGCCCCCCTGCTACTTGCTCACTCGCTGCAGGGTCTCGCTCACTGGCCGCAGGGTTTCAGGAGACCCACTGGCCAGGGACTCAGCCTCTGGGTGGGGTCCCGCTCCTGGGGAGTCTCGCTCAGGTGGCCGCTCAGGCTGGGCTTCTCCCGTCTCTGTCCTAGCCTGGTGCTGCTGGTCCTCCTTAACGTGATGCTTTTCTACAAGCTCTGGACGCTGGAGTACACCACCCAGACCCTCACTGCCTGGCAGGGCCTGCGGCTCCAAGAAAGGTAACCCTCCCCTCGCCGCCACCCTCGCCTGCCCCGGACCCTGCCCTCGCTCCTGCCTCCGGTCCCCGTGGGAACCCCCTGCCCTCTGTGATGGGACCATCAGCCAGCTCCGAAAACTGGCCGTAAAGTTTGCGTCTGCTCTGGTTCAGGGCACGGGCCCCGGGCCAGGAGCGGAGGGCAAAACGCTCTGATGTGACTCTTTGTCCTTTAGGGGTCTGGGAGCACAGGACAGTCCACTGAGCATAACTCCAGCTGCTGGGGGACCCCTTCTTCCGCCCCACAGGTTACCCCAGTCGCAGACAGAGTGGGCCCAGCTCTTAGAGTCCCAACAAAAGTACCACGACACTGAGCTGCAGAAGTGGAGAGAGATCATCAAATCCTCGGTGATGCTCCTCGACCAGGTGAGGCCCGCTCCTCCTGGCCCTCGTCTCCTGGAGACAGACTCCTTCCTGTGTCCTGAGAAGGTCGCCACCGCCGTCACCCCCACCGGCCGCATCCTCCCATCCAGGCCTTTCGTAGGCCGTCCTTGTTCTCACGTTAAAGGCCTCCCTGAGTGAGCTGGTGGAAGCAGCTCTGATGTGCAACAGGAAAGCTGTGGTCAGATGAAAGGAGGCTTTGTGTTTGGCCACCCGTTGCCCTCTGATAACCCCGAGCGTGTCCGCCCAGCTCTCCTTGAACACGCACTCCCAGGACGCGCGCAGACACAGCCTCCCAGGGCACCCGCCGAGGCTGCCCTGACCGTCTGGGAAGAGGGCTGTTCCCTGTCTTCTCCAGGCATCTTCTCCCCAGTACAGCTGCTGTCTTCCTTCTAAACGTTAGCTGCATCTAGTATGTGTTTAGAGGCTCGTGGCCGTCTTTGGAGCCACGTTTAAGAAGAGTTTTTCTCACCACGAGAGGGCAGACAGTGTAGGGGGCGTCCAGCAGCCCCGTCGCATCAGGAAGGGCTGATGGAGTTGAAAATACTCTCAGGACCAGGGAAGACGGATGAGAGCAGGGTAGTCCGCAGATGCTGAGGCCAACAGGGCAGCCTGCTGTACGCTCCAGAGGCCTGGCCTGGGGCTGGAAGTTGGAGGGCATTGGCTTTTTGAGCTGTCATAGAAACACACTGCTCATGATTAGAGCTACTCGGGGAGGGAATGGCTGCTCTGGACTGAGATTCCTCCACCTGGAAGGGCTGTTGGGGGGGTAGGGGTGATGGGTAAGGAACTTATGAATTACTAGAGGCTCAGTGCATGAAATTCGTGCACACTGGAGGGAGAGGGGGTGTCCCTCAGCCCGGCCTGCGCCCTCTTGCAGTCTGGGAGCCCTGCGGTCAGTCACCCTGCAGAGGGAGGCCCCACCCACCTGCTGCAGAGCTGCTGGCCAGGTAGCCTGGGCCTCCCTCTGTGGGGCGATCATGGGGTGATGGCAGGCCCCCCACCCAATCACATCGCACCCACCTTGGCTGGCCTGCGCCAGTGCATGTCATAGCGTGGTCCTCCGGACAGTCCTGCTGTCGGCCATTTGGTTGATTTGCATATTATGCTTTTATTATTGTAGACATGGGGGGGATGACCCCATTCTCTTCCAACCCTAGAATTCTATTTCAGGATGGGTCCCCTTAAGTTGGAGCGTGGAGCAGTCAGATTTACAGCTGCTGTAAATGGTGGGATGTGTTGGGATAGGTGTTTTGTTTCATTACCTTTAAAAGTAACTTATAAGAGAACTAGTGGCCCAGTGCACGAAATTTGTGCACGGGGGGGGGGGATCCCTCAGCCCAGGCTGCACACTGTCCAATCGGGGACCCCCTGTGGGATCGGGCCTAAACCGGCAGTTGGACATCCCTTTCACAATCTGGGACCACTGGCTCCTAACCGCTCACCTGCCTGCCTGCCTGATTGCCCCTAACCCCTCTGCCTGCCTGCCTGCCTGCCTGATCACCCCTAACCTCTCTGCCTGCCTGCCTGATCACCCCTAACTGCCCTCCCCTGCCATCCTGGTCTCACCCCTAATTGCCCTCCCCTGCCGGCCTGATCTCGCCCCCAACTGCCCTCCCCTGCCGGCCTGATCTTGCCCCCAACTGCCCTTCCCTGCCGGCCTGATCTCGCCCCCAACTGCCCTTCCCTGCCGGCCTGATCTCGCTCCCAACTGCCCTCCCCTGCCAGCCTGATCTTGCCCCCAACTGCCCTCCCCTGCCACCCTGGTTTACCCCAACTGCCCTCCCCTGCCGGCCTGATGCCCTCCCCTGCCGGCCTGATCGCCCCTAACTGCCTCTGCCTCGGCCCCCACCACCATGGCCTTGTCCAGAAGGAAGTCGGACATCCAGAAGATGGCTGGTCGACCTGGTCTAATTGCATATTACCCTTTTATTAGTATAGATAGATTATATAGGATAGGATTGCTTAAATGGGGGTGGGGGGGCCTGGGGGCTTTTTCAGCAGGAGGAGATGCTCTTGGCAGACAAAAATACATAACCCCTATATCTGGACTGATAGCCAGCCATATGCACTATACTGCCAAACTGGTTATTAAAACAGCAGATTGCCCCTAACCCCTTTGCCTTACACCAAACAGCTGTTGCCCTTAAAACCCCCCTTCTCATCCCCCACCTTAGGTCCTGCCTTCGCAGTTCACCCAGATTAGGTTCTGACTGGTAGGTTTCCATGCCAGTCAGTGTCAAAAGCTCCTCCTTCTAGGCAGCCATTGGCTCCTCGCACTTCACCCAGATTTGGTTCTGATTGGTCAGTTTCTCTGCCAGTCAGTGTCTCCGGGCTTATCTCCAGGCCCAGGCCTTATTAGAGAAGCAGAGCTGATCAGCAGTCACCCCTCTACCCCCACCCGCAGAGGCCCAGAGAGAAACAGGCACGGCTGCTGGCAAAGCCAGGAGAGAAAGAGAGAGGCAATGGCTAATCAACAGCTGCCACGGAGGCTGCGGATCAGACCCTGCCTCTCTCTTTGGGCCTCTCCCCAGGCCTGATCCGCAGCCCCCTCAGCAGTCAGTGCTGGGCCGCGCCTGCAGCAGCGGCAGTCAATGCTGGGTCGCTGCGGCAACCCAGCACTGACTGCCGGACTGACTCTGGTCGGTGGAGCCTTCGGTTGTTATGGACCCTTGGTTTTTAAATATCAGGATAGTAATGGGCCCTCAATTCCATTAAGCAGAGGATACAGAAGAACCAGAGAAGAATATGATCAATTAGGCAGAGAAGCCAGAGGTTCTCAAAACCTAGAGCCACACGCCCATGAAACGTGAGCTCTGTGGTGCTGTGACAGAGCAGCTTGCTGAGACAGAACGTGAGCATGTGGTGTGAAGGCCGCTTTAAGGCTCTGCCGCTGGAACCGCCCATTCAGACTGTCACAGCCTAACAGAGTGAGCGTGTCTGTATCCTGAAGGAGGCTAGGGGTCCCGTGAAGGTCAAGTCAGTGCCACAGATAGAGCATGGAGCCGCCTCAGTGCTCTGTGTGGCACCAGGGTTAAGGATAGGAGACATGCAGTCCCAGCACACAGGAAACCAAGCCACCAAAGATGGCTGCAGCCCCAGGCCAGCGAGTGTGAGAGGGCCCTGGGGAAGGGAGGGTTGAGCGAGAGGAGGTTTGGGTTTGTTCTGGGCCCGCACAGATGGGAGAGGCTGGGACGGGTAAGAAGGGCTGTGCAGGCTGGGGGAGCGCTGGCAGGATGCACGCTACAGGGATGTCGCAGTCAGGGTAGGGGGGACGCCGAGTGGAAGGGGTGAGTAAGAGGCCACAGAAGTGGCAGCAAAGTGGCTTCTGGCAGCACCTGAATGCTCTGAGCGAGTTCTGAAAATTCAGTGCTGCAGGCCACACGTCATGAAGACGCGGCAATGCAGCGACGTGTGCGGCGGCCCCGTGCCGATCGCTGCGCCCTGTCTGCCTGAGGCTGTCCCTGAGAATTGCCCCTGACTTAGGAGCCCAGCTCCCTGTCGCCCCCTGGCATGGCGGGGTCCCCGCTGCGTGGCACCCCACTGAGCGCACAACCCGGCTTGGGGGTCCCTGTCTTGCAGATGAAGGACTCCCTCATCAACCTTCAGAACGGCATCAGGTCCCGAGACTACACATCCGAACGCGAAGAGAAGAGGAGCCGCTACCACTGACCAGGCAGGAGCAGGGCTGCCGGAGGCCTGTGCAATACGTGTACATAGACCTATAAATATATATATATATATATAAATATATATATACAGAGTATAAATATATATTATATACAGATTTTAAAGAGACACCACCTATGTACCAGGGAGGAGCTGGCCCGCCTCCTGTGTGGCCGGTGGCGGCCGAGGGGCAGGGACCACCTCCACCACCGCCGACCCTCCCGCCCTCCGTCCTCCAGCCCCGGGCCCTGGCCGGCCGTTCTTGGCTCTGAGAAGGGAAGTGTTGTTGAGCCCGAGTGATGCCTGCGAAGAGAAGTCCCAGGGGCATGGCTCACGGTGCTTCGTTCCCTCATTCCCTTTTGATTTGTTTCCAAAACTAAAGGGACTCTTCTTCCCTGCCCCACACTTCCGCAGGCGCTCCCGTGGGAACGAGGAAGCATCAGAGACAGCAGCGCCATCTAAGCTCTCCCTGTGAGCCCCTGCCCCCCATGGACTGCAGGCTGCGCCTGTGGATTTCGTGGCTGCGGGCTCCGGAGGCCTTGCGTTCGGAAGGATGCTCTCCTCCATCACCCGCACTGCCTCCAGCTGTGCAGGGTGTGCACCCAATAAGGGCTGGGAACGCCCTCCCTCCCCGCCCCCGCCTGTCTCCCCGCGCTTCTCCCAGGCTGGGTCTGGGCGAAGTGTCCCTTTTTAGTGCCTAAAACCCTCATTTTTCTCTGTGCCCCGAGAGCACATCGCCCTCGGCCGGGGTGGAGTGTTTGGTCTTGTTAAGTCTGTTTTCATGGTTCAAGCACGTCAGGTCTGTGGCTCTGGTCCTTCGCTTCGCGCTGTCAGTTTTCTGTCCAGGAGAGTCGGGGTGTTGTCGGGCCTCCGGGTGTGAGGGGCGAGTGCCCGGCGTGTCGGTTGCAGGCCTCGGCAGAGATGCCACGTGATGGAGAGCACCCGTGCCAGTGGCCTCTGCTGCCCGTGGACACCCGGCTTGCTCAGGGAGACAGCATCTGAGGCGCCTGGCACGTGAAGACGGACGCCCTGGGAGGGAACGGGTTTGGCAGAGACGCGTGCATCTGGGTGTGAAAAGCCTGATGGAGTCTCTTCGCCCAAGGGGCCGCTCCCCATGCCCGTTCTCCTTCCCTGGTGTCTGTCCCAGGGGGCTGCTGTCACTGGGAGTGGAGAGGAGGCCGCGGGCCAGGACCATCCGTGCTCCGGGCCTTTTTGGGGTTGGCTCCCAGGACCGTGCACGTGCCTGACTGGGACCCACCTGGACACGCCTGTCGCCCCTCATGCACTAACTGCTACTTCATCCAACAAGGGCCCCTCCAGCCCAGGAGGGCGCAGCGCATGGGCCACAGCCGGGCAAGGAGGGCTCTCCAGGGGCTGTGGAGGCGCCCCGCGTGCCGGGCCCAGGAAAGGAAGACTGTCCCCGTCCGCCCAGAAGGCAGCCCGTGTCCCTCTCCTGCAATGGCCTGAGCATCTCACCTGACAATGAAAGGTGGTTGGCATTTCAGCCTGAGACCATAGCCTTGTCATCGCGCACAGGCAGGATGAGAAGATGGAGCTGTGCGTGCCCAGGTCACCCCCGGGGGAGCAGGAGAAGGCGGCATGGGGCCCGCCTCCCTCAGGCGTCCGTGGAGGGTCACAGGCCAGGGGCCACTGGTCGCTTTTGCCCAGGACTGAACGGGACACCTGTGAGCAGTGCGACTGCTGCAAACTGTCCACAGAGGTAGCCAGAGGCCAATCAGTCCCAGAAACTTAAAAGCAAAGATGGTAAATCTCTAATTTGTCCCACGCACGTTTGGTTTGTTTTTAAACCTTGCCGTGATGAGGGTTCCTGGGGCCCTTTCGTAGGACACAGCGGGGTCTCGGCTGGGCCGGTGCTGGCAGGGCCTGGCTACACAGCCGCTGTGCGCTCCTACTTCTCAGGCCATCCCAGGGAAGAGCGGGTGACGGAGGGAGCCGAGGCTGGGGATTGGAACCCAGGACGCAGAGTGTGCACACCACCATCTCTCGTGGGTGCTCTCTGTTCTAACGGTTTTCTGATTTTAAACCAACCGCTCCGCCCAGTCTCGCTCAGTAACCGGTGAAGAGAAGGCACCACCGTGCAGGCGGTCTCGGCGAGAAACGCAGCAGCACTGGCACCGCCTCGGAGCCTGAAGGGCACAGGGGAACCATCACCTCGTGCGTTCTCTCCCGGCCATGCTGGCTGGACAGCTCCGCCTGTCTGCTAGATCCAGCGGCAAACATCTGAGAGCCGTGCTCACCGTCAGAGGTTTCACAACATTCGTCGAGTCTGCACCTCACTCCAGCTTACCTGGAGGAGCTCACAAGATCGGCCTTGGAGAAGCCAGTCCTGTCTACAGCTCCTCGCCTTCCCCACCAGCCGCCCTGGGAAAGGGGACCACCTCCTGGGCCAGCAAGATGGGCAGCGTGGAGTCTCTGAAGGCCATTGAGCTGAGGGCCAGGAGGCCAGGCTGAGTCCTGGCTCGGCCTCTCTGAGCTTCTGTGTCCCCGGGGACAGGGCTGGCCTAGATGGCCGCTGAGGGGGCTCTGCTTTGGCGCTGTCGGGAGGGACATCAGAGGCTGGTGAGGCTGGGCGTTCTTGGACTTGGAAGGGTCCCTTCGGGCTAGAGCCCCCTGGTGTTTAGGGGAGCAGCAGGGCAGTGTCTGGGCTCTGGGAAACCCAGGGTAGCTGAGCTTCCTTTCTGATAAGCTGGGAGGATTAGGGAGACTTGGCGGGGGGGGGGGGGGGGGGGGGGAGGCAGAGCGCAGAGGCTCCCCGCAAGCTCAGTGTTAACCTCAGTGGTGTTGCTTCCTTTGTTGGTACCTTCCTCCTTCTCTCTGGAGGACGCAGTGGAGAGAAGACATTCCTGGTTCTTGCACTTCTCTCTCTTGCCTCATCCCAAACCCTGTTGGGGCGGATGAAGCGTGAAGCTTTGGCGAAGAGCCATGGGTGCCCGGGCACTGACACTAGGCACCTGGGAGACAGGAGGGGCCGAGGGACCGGGGGCAGCGCTCGGCCAGAAGTGGGTCCTCTCCAGGGCCGGCCCGGCCCAAGTTTAGACCAGGCCTGAGCATTCGCCCCAGCACCTCTAGGCTGGAATCTTGCAGAAAGACAAGGGGAAGAGTCTCTGGGCCTTGTGGTATCAGAAGGGTCCTTTCTGTGCTGTACCAGGCTCTGCTGTGGCTCTGCAGGGGAGCAAAAAGCCCATCCTTCCCCCCCAATCCCCTGAAGAAATAGCTCTCTCCTCTGGTCCCCCAGGTGGCGGGCTGTGGTCTCGCTCCCCGCTCCCCAACACTCTGCCCCTACCTGGCGCCAGTTCAGATCCTGAGCACCTCTCTCCCCGGCGCGCTCCTCCCCACCCCTCGCCTCTGGGCGGTGGGACCGGCATGCCATCCACCACGTGGCATCTTGACCTCATTCCCAGCCTGCCGCAGGCTGGTCCCGCCCTCTACTCCTGTTTTCTCCCAGAAGATGCGCCTTGGGTCGTTTCTCTGGGACCCATCTCTCCCGCCCCTGCTCTCCTGCGGGAGCAGGCATGTGCACAGATGTAGCAAGCTCCCCTCCCACCTCTGCCCAGCCTCCTTACCTCACTGCTGCCCGGCTGTGGCTGAGGGCCCGCCAGCTCCCCGGTTGGTGTTCTGTGGGACAGTCAGGGGCATGGGCGCTGCTTTCTGTGTGACTTGAGGCCTCGGCAGGCCTGGGAGGCGGAGGGAGCCGTGGCTGCTGGCGAGAGGAGCTGGTGCCAGGTGATCGCCGACAAGTGGAGGCCTAGAGAACATGGCTGTCTGCCCTGGGCCCTCCTTGCCCCTGAGCACGGTGAGACCCTGCAAAAGCCAGCTGGCGGCCACTGCTCCAGGCAGGACAGCGCAGTGTCGGGAGTGGGCCCTGGCGTGGGGCCACGTGCTGAGATTGCGTAGTAAAAGCAGCTGTTTTTGCCAACAGTGGTGTGTGGCTCCATGCATTTTTCTTCCCACACTCTAGGGCAGGACGGCTCTGCATGGACCTGGTCATCTTCCCAAACCCATGGTGCTTCCCCCCGCCCCACCCCAGCTTCCAGGACCCCACTCAACCTAGACCCCACGGCGGGCGGGATGGGCGGAGGCTGTGGCCCGGACCGTGCTGACACGGGGTGGAGTGGGGCGAGGGAGAGGGAGGAGCCAGCACCGTGCTGGGCCAGGTCCGGGAAGGCCAGGGCGCTGGCAGCCGAGTCGTCTGGCCGCCTGTACTTGGGTCTGTGACTGTACTTTGCCTGGCGCTGTGCGCAAGGTCTGAAAACTTACAGCTCGTACCTGGAAATATACAAGGCTGCCCAGCCGAACTTACTGTAAAGTAGCTAGAGCCATGGAAGTGCTGTATGGATTAAAAAGTATTGAACTACCAACACTAAATGCCGTCTGTGCGTCTCGCTTGCTTCACTCGTGCTGTGTCCCAAATGGTTTTGGTCTTCCCGGAGGTGGTCAGGCCCAGATCTGTGTACGGGCGCACACGCACAAATCACACTTACACACACACAGGCACAGCCATCCACCCGGCTTCTGGCACTTGCTTCCCAGGGTAGGGAGGCGCCTGACGAGGGGGAATAGGTAGAAGTTTGGGAATCAGACCTGAGTACAAATGGCATATCCCTGCTTGCCAGCTGTGTCACCTTGGGCCCCTGTCATCACTCGAGCCTCAGGTGTTTAGAGATAATATATGTGTGTGTGTGAGTATAGTGGCTGGTCCCGTACTAAGAACATTTTTTATCTCCCTGTGAAGCAGTACTTTGAGATGCAGGAGACTGGTGGACTGTGAATCCTGATGACAATTTCTTAAGCGTTTCCCTTTTGGGGCCTCCACACCCCAGGAAGATGGGCACTGGGCGGCGGCTGGGCGCCGTTGCCTTGCTAGGTACACGTGGTGAGTGCGGCCCTCCCTCATTGGGTCCTCCTCGCACTCAGCCCTCTGCCACCTGGCAGGAAGCTTATTTGACGCCAGGCAGGTGAGGACACACGTGGCTGGATTCCTTCGCATTTGGGTGGGGAAGGAAGGGAAGGGAGAGGCCAGGTCCCACAGCGCCATGTGTTAATTCTGGATACTGCCTTTCCTGTTCTCGGGGCATATGGCCCCTGGTGGTGAGTTGAGGAATGGGCGCAGGCTGGGGCGGGATGCAGATCCCATGGATACGTCACACACACATCTGGACTACTTACTCGCAGAGTAAAACCAGGGCAGGCAGTGTTGAGAGCCACTTTATTGACATGAACAGGGGAGTCCACTGGGAAACGCTACAGAACAGCCACTCGGCTGTGGAAAGCGTGGGTGGTCAGGACAACACTGGCTGTGGGAAATCGAGAAAAAGCCACGTGAAGGTGACAGTGTGTAGAGTTCCATCAGTTGCAGGACTGAGTTTGCTGACTGTGTTCGATGGTGTTTCATAGACCGAGCACCCGTTCTGCAGTCTCCCCATCGTGCACACCCCCAACGTGCAGCGCTTGCCACGCGGTGCGGTGCGCGGGAGGACGAGAGTATTGCTGGCGCAGGCTTCGCTGGCCTGTGACAGGGATTGACTGTCATCTACAAGACAGACTTGCGTAAGGTGCTTATCCACTGGGCCCTGCTAAACTCAAGGAAGCGGGGAGCTGAGCACGCGTTACCTACCACAGTAGAGTTCAGAGGTTAGCAAAGTCTTGGATGAGAAATTTTCCGGACCTAAGACCATGGGGCACAGTGAGGGTCTAGATTGGTGCTAGACACGGTGGGTGCCAAGGCGACGAATGGATGGATGATGGGAGCAGTGAGCACACCGCATGTTGTTCCCATTGGCCTGCAGTGACCGGGTGAGCTCACTGCACTAGGGATCTTCATTTACAAACGGTGGGGAAGGAGGCTTTGTTCGGTGTTCTCTCTTCTCCATTTCTGTGTGAACTTGAGAACGGGGAACGAGATAGCATATCTGAAGTGGGTCGCGCTCTTGCTGCTGTTTCTGCAAAGCAGCGGTTACGTAGCCTTGCCCTCTGGTTCACTCAGGTGGGCGCACAGATCGCGAGATGGCTGGGTTTTCCTTTCCCGTCTAGTCGGTTGGGGGAGGAGCTATGTCTCGTAGCCATTCACTGCTCTAAACATATTGCCAGCATATTCCTGCTTTGAAAATTCCTTTCTGCCCAGCCAGCGTGGCTCAGTGGTTGAGCATTGACCTATGAACCAGGAGGTCACAGTTCAATTCCCATTCAGGGCACATGCCTGGGTAGCAGGTTCGATCCCCAGTGTGGGGCATGCGGGAGGCAGCCGATCAATGATTCTCTCTCATCACTGATGTTTCTATCTCCCTCTCCCCTCCTCTCTGAAATCAATTTTAAAAATTTTTTAAAGAAAAATTTCTTTCCTACTAACATTTCTAGTTTGGCATCTAAGGAAACCAGAAAATCAGAGAATCAGAAATCTGGGTGTGTAAATGTTTAGGGATAGAAAGACGATAAAGAACGATGCTTTTAAACAGACCGGACATGAGGGCTGTGTAGGGACAGGCACTGACTGGGAGGTCCTTCCACACAGGAGCTGGACCGTGATGCACAGGACAGAGCTAACAGTAAAGGTCAAGGTCAGTGGGTCAGAGTGCTTAGGGGCCAAGTGAGTTGTGCAGTCAAGTTCATGGCTGTTCAGCAGCAGGAAAGGGAAAATGAGACCCAGCCTTGAGTGAACTGCGTTGCTGAGGACCAGTCATGGGAGACAGCCAGCACCAAGGCCCCAGGCTGGGCTCCTGAAGTGGTATTAGCCCTTGACAACATCTCCAAGCCCTTTAGCAGGAGCCGCGTGCACACACGCTCCAGAGCGATGCCCACTCCGCCTGGGCCTGTGGGAACGTGGGAGAGACGGTTGGCGGGACCTGAAGGAGGCTGGTGATCACAGTGCCCGCAGGCTCACAGTCACGCCCAGATCTCCCAGGGAGGAGGGGAACTGCAGTTCAGGAGACGTAGCGACACGCACACTGACTAGGACGGTAAAAGCAAAGTGAGGTGGACTCCTCACGCACACGTCCAGCATCTGCGGGAAGCTGAGTGGAGGAGGAGCCGTCGTGGGGCTGAGGGTGAGGGGACAGGAGAGGCCGAGATGAGGCGGAAGTTAGCAGATGAGAGGGGAGGAGGCAGCTGTGAGCGCAGTGGAGAGAACGGGGTTCCAGCTCCCCCGTACCAGCTGTGCGCTGAGGGTGTGACGACGCCTCGGCCTCGGCCTCAGTTTCTCCACTTACAACAGGAGCGTTAGTGATATTTACCTGGCAGGGCTGGTTGTGGAGAAGGAAAAGGTAATTGCAGTGAAGATGGGCTGTAAACCATATAGCTCTAATGCAAGGTGAGACGCTAGAAAGCAAAAGTGGAGGATTCTTACAAAGGGGCAGAAGGAAAAGACACGATAGGCGTTATGCAGCTCCATTAAAACCCACCAGGAGACATTGGAGTTTGTCCGGTAAGAGGAAAGGGGCAGCCATGCGTGCTCCTTGGTGAGAAGTTGGATGCAGGGGCTGCGGGAACCAAGAGGAAGCGAGCTGCAGGGAGGAGCTGGCTGCTGCACAGCCAGCCGCGTGGCTGCCAAGGCCTCGTTCTCCAGGCCCGTCCTCCTAACTATAAAGAAAGAAAAATCTATATTCCAGAGGATTATGTGGGGAACTGCCAGGGAGAAGCGCCTGGAATTTATTAGAAGTATTTTCTTCAAGATGTGAACAAGGACTTAGGTTCAGCGCTTCCCCGGGGATGGAAGAAATGAAAAAAAGGCATTTGTCCGGTGAGGCCCAAAGCCAATGGAGTCTGATCTTTCCCATAAACTCCTCTGGACCCAAGAGCCACTCATCCATCCAGTCCCAGCCCCGTTCATCTTCTACTTCACAAACACCCTCCCTCTCCTCACCGGGTGCTGAAGGACTTCACACATGGACCAATCCCTCCATTGAAATGAAACATGAGATTTTGACTAAAATGTAGCCAGTGTTCACCTGCTCTCCCAAAAGCTAGGGGGAAGCCTGGACATTATAATTCCCAGGTGAACTGTTGGGAGAAGCGAGCCGCCCTCCTGCCCGTCCCTTCTCTCATCGGCCGATGGTCCATGTTTCTTAGGTGTCACCCCGAGCCATTCTGCTGCACGATGCTCAGGTCCACACACCCTTCCAGGGAGGAAATGCCTCATGTCTCTTCCTGCCTGTCTGCCTTCTCCCTGACTTCCAGCCGCCAGATCAGAGCTAACCCCGCCAGGCAGCCCGCCCAGTCCGAGCTTGTGAGAGAAACATGGTCATAACCAACCACAGTTTCAAAGTCTTCTCCAGGACAAAAGTGCCCATCTTGGGAAGCTGAACCTGGGCGGTGCCTAAGGTGACACCCCCTCCAGGGAGTCCTCTGCAGTCAGGCTGAGCTGAGCCCTGCCTGAGTGTCAGCTGCCCCCACAGTGTGAGGAATGCTGGTCCACGGGCGTTTGGAGAGGAAGGACTGACTGAGGGGTTTCAGTTCCGATGCCCACAGGAAAACGATGCTTTCCAGCTGTCTCCGGTGTGTGCTCGCTGGGCGTGGGGCGGAGGGGTTGTGGGGGCGGGAGGGGCGGGGGGTCGGGATGACGTGGCAGTGCGAGGCGGAGGGCATACGTGTCCATAGGATCGTGACCATGTTGTGTGACTTTGAAAAGCCATTTAAATTGCTGAGTCTCTCCCAAGTCCCTGGTGCTTGGCTTCTGGAAGGACTGAGACCAGCGGGGCCTTAGAGACCTGGGTTCTAGTCCTGGAGAACCGAGCCCCAGGGAACATCTTCGTCCTCACGCAGGAACTCCCGTCGCCGGAGAACCCGGAAAGCGTGCTTGGCTCTGGCGCTCTGGTCAAGGGGGTCGAGGCCTCGGAAACACCGGCTTCAAGAAATTCCTCCCCATGACACTCTTGCTTTCCGCAGCTGGCCACCTGGCTCCCGTCCACGAAGACAGCCCTTCACGCGGAGCAGTCAGTGGGCACGAGCCAGTTCCCGTGGCGGGCAGGGGCTGTGCTGCCTCCAGGCTGTTCACAGCCGCTCGGCGCCCGGGGAGCAGTCCAGTGGGCGCGGCTGCTGCTGCCCAAACGCCAGGCGGGGTGCGGTGGCCTCTGTGGAGAGGTTGCTCCTCAGCTCGGGCAGAGTCTGGTGGTGCGTAGAGGTCGGATGGAGTTAGGAGGCCAGAGGGGAGGGGTCGGTGTGGCCTCTGGGGCACCTCCTGGTGCGGTGACATCACTGAAGCTGGGCGCCCAGTCCCTGTGTTCAGGTCACCTGTCACTGGCAGCACATCTCACTGAGGAGGCCCCGTCCAGCAGCACAGGCTCTGACCAGACGCACATCCTTACAAGGAGGGAGTGGGAGAACGACTCTGCCTGCGTCGCTACGGGGAAGGAGTTCCAGCTGCCCCAACACTCAGCCAAAGCAATTCCCTTCTGAAGGGCTTGACACCACACAGAGCTCTGTGAGTCGGGCACCAACTTAGAGCAGTATCCTGAGGGCGGACTCGGGTAGGGTACAAAGTAAGCCAAGGGCCCAAGTTTAAAGTCGCTGTACAATCGCCATCCTTATCCACCTTCCCTCCTGCTTCCTGTACGTCACCTCGAGCCGCACCCCTTCTATTCCTCCACGGGCACCACCGAGCTCTCCTTGTTCTCCGATGGGATGGCCAGGTAGTCGGACCTGCAGGAGGACACATGGGGGAAGAGAATCAGTACTTTTGTACCCAGAGGTGAGAATGCAAGAAAAGGGAAGGAGCAAGGATGCCTACAGCCCAGCTCTGCATGTCCTTCTGGCTGTGTTTCCCAACAGGGAGCGAGAAGGCCCTTCCAGTGGACCAGAACAGCAGCAGTTTTTGTTTGTTAGCTGCTCTCCCAGCAATCTTCTCATTCACCCACACTGCTCTCAGGACTTAGTGTGGATAGATTAAATGTTGGCCGAACTGATGGGTGTGGAATTATATCTTAGAGTTGCTTTAATTTTCACCTCCTTGATCACTGGTGAAGTGGAGTGTCCTATATAATAAAAGCCTAATATGCAAATTGACCAAACAGCGGAATGACTATTTGGCGGGGCGGCAAGCAGGCGGTGCCAGGCCAGCCAAGGTGGGTGCCAGCAGGCAGAGGGAGGGGGCAGTGATTGGGAGGGGGCAGTGGCCCGCAGCAGCGGAGGGGCAATGGGGGAGGGGGGGCGGGGCCGGCCATTCGCCAGCCGGTGTCATCCCCCGATTGGCCCACAGAGGGAGGCCAGACTGCAGCTTAGGCATGGGGAGTGGGCCTAAGCCATCAGTTGAACATCCCCTGAGGGCTCCTGGACTGCAAGAGGGCGCAGGCCGGGCTGAGGGACTCCCCCAGGCCTCCAGTCTTTTCATAAGTTTACAGGCTCTTTTGGTTTCTACTTCTGTAATTTGTTCATTTGCTTTGCTCATTTTTCTTCTGAGATACTTGTCTTTTTCTCATCGATTTCACATCTTGAAATTATCTTCTTCCAGTCTGTTTGTCTCTAAACTTTGCTTTTGGATTCTTATAAGAAAAAGTAATGTTGACATACAGGGGTGGGAAAAAGTAGGCTTACAATTGTGAGTGCAAAAAACAGAGTTCATTCTTGTATTATTTATTAATTATTGTATTGTTTATTATTATTAACCTACTTTTGCCCACCTCTGTATATAATCTAATCACAATTATCATTTTCCTTTGTGTTTGAAGAAATCCTCTTTATTCCAAGGTAATAAAGATATTTATTCTTTTTTTATATATTTTTATTGATTTCAGAGAGGGAGGAAGAGGGAGAGAAAGATAGAAACATCAATGAAGAGAGAGAATCAATCATTGATTGGCTGCCTCCTGCACTCCCCCTACTGAGGATCAAGTCCACAACCTGGGCATGTGCCCTTGACCAGAATCAAACCCAGGACCCTTCAGTCCACAGACTGACACTCTATCCACTGAGCCAAACCAGCGAGGACATAAAGGTATTTTTTTAAATGCCCTTAATAGAATTTTTAAGTTTTGCATTTTACCTTGTCTTTAAATCCACTCACAACTTATTTTTCGTTAATGCGAGAGATAGAGAATCTATTTTGTTTTCTTCTATATGGACAAGGAATTGGACACCCATTCCTCCTTCAGTGACTGCACTGCCTCTGCCACATGCTGGCTTACATACATAGTGACCCAGCGGGCTCCCCTTTGTTCTGCTTGTCCATGTGGGTGCCATGTCAGTATCACAGGCTCTGCTCTGACAGTGTTCTAAGCAAGCCTCACCTCTGGCAGCAAAAGTCCTACCAGCCACCCCCCCAAACTTACCGTTCTTTCTTTGAAGTCAGGAAACTATGGCCCAGTGGCTAAGAAAGGTTGTTCCTTGTTTAAAGGGTTGCAAGCAAAGAAACAAAACAAACACTATTTGGAGAGACCCTGTGTAGCCTGCAAAGCCTAAAATATTTACTCTCTGGCCGTCCTTTGGTATAGCTGGTTTGGGTCCTTCCATGTGACTTTTAAGATGAGCGTTATCTAGTTCCTTGAACAATCCAATAAATATTTTGATTGGAATGTAATTAAATTTGCAAATTACTTTTGGGGAGAACTGCCATGTTTGTCACAGTACAGTTTTATTCTCCAGCTAAGTCTTTCTTAAGTCTTTCAGTAGTTTTGTAACTTTGTCCTTAAACGTCTTACACATTTTTATCAAATTTATTTCTGGGTACTGGAGAGTATTTGTTGCTATTATAACTGAAAATATTTCAATGCTTTTCTAAATTGTAGTGGCTGGAATATAGTGATTTCTGTATTTTTATATTTTTATTTATGTTAACAAACCTGTGGAATGTTCTTATTAGTTATAATAGTTTGTTCACTCTAGATTTCCTTAGATTTTCTCTGCAGGTTATCATAGTGGGTATGAAAAATTATAATTTAGTTTGTTTCTTTCCAAGTCTTACTCTTTTTTCTTTGCATTTGCTTAGTCCACTAGGATCTCCAATATAATATTGAAGAGAAGCAGGGAGAGGTGGTATCCTTGACACGCTTTTAACATTATAGATAATTTCTTCTAAAGTTGGGAGCCCCAGGTGACATTTGCTGTAGGTTATCTTAGTAGCTGCCATTGATCAGTTTAGAGGTGCTTGCTGTGTGGGTGTAGATTTACATGGATTTATCCTGCTCAGGATTTACCAGGTATTGTGCTTCCTAAATCTGAAGAGTCCTGCCTTCCTTAGCCACTATATCTGAATTCTCCATTTAAGTCTTTTCTCAAGTCTTTCAGTAGTTTTGTCAACCAACTGGTTTCATTGTTTCTTCTCCTTTTTTTCTGTTTTAATGGATCTCATTTTTTTTCTTCATGTTTCTTTGTGATATTTCATCTTATTATATCTCCATTCTCCATTCTGTGTTACATTGTTATATTTATCTTCTGGTTACCAGTATGAAGTGCCAATCCATGGGGTCTTAAATTGTATTGACCGTGTTTTCCTCCCCTCCCCCGCTTTTTCTTTTTGTACTTTTTGCCACACCATGAGGTCCAGGGCTTTACTGAGAAGACTCACAAACAAAACTCATCACGCTCCTGGCTCCCAGGCTGCATAGCGTCTGGCTCCCATCTTTCCCTCCATCCTCCCAACACAAACTCTTACTGAGCATCACTGTGCCGTCACTGGGGGAGCAATGAGACACCCCCTCCCAATCTCCAGGGAACTTAGTGTAATAAAAGAATTTTTTTTAAAGGAGGCCTCTGAGGTGATTTAAACAAAATGAGTGCTCCTTTTTTTAAAGGTTGGGGATTCCAGGTAGCTTGATAAGTGAGAGCAGGTGAAGTAGGAAAGAGGTTAGAAGAGGCTCCAGGGCTAGGTTTGATTTAGAGAGGGAGGGCAGGGAAAGGCCAGGTCTGAAGGTTTCATATGCTAATGAGTCACCACCATCAATTAATGTTACCCAGGAAAAGCTGTGGCTTTAAATCCCCTGGAGGGACCAGCTGGAGCCAGAAGAACCTGACCAGGAGATGGACCCTGCCATTCACAGTGACTTTGGTGATGTCACTTACCCTTACCTAACTTCAACCTTTCTCTCTCTCTCTCCCTCTCCCTCTCCCTCTCTCCTCTCTCCTCTCCTCTTCTCTCCTCTCCTCACCTTTTCTTTTCTTTTTTGTGCCAGCATTTGATGTTGTCACTATTTATTTTACATTTATTTATTTGCTTGTTTTAATCCTCACCTGAGGATTTTTCCCATTGATTTCCAGAAAGAATAGAAGGGAGGGAAGAGGGGGAGAGAAAGAGAGACACATTGATTGGTTGCCTCCACATGAGCCCCTACCTTGGCTGGAATGGAACCTGCAACCAAGGTACACGCCCTTGATGGGAATCAAACCTGCAACCCTTCGGTCTGCAGGCTGATGCTGTAACGCTGAGCCAAACCAGCCAGGGCGTTTATATATTCACTAGAGGCCCAGTGCACGAAATTCATGCACTGGTAGGGTCCCTAGTGGCTGCTGGCTGGGGCCTCCCTCCCTTCCCCCGGCCGGCCCCACCCCCTGGCCAAACTCCCGGTCAGGGGACAATTTGCATACTACGCTTTTATTATATAGGGTTTTATTCCCATTCCCCCACCCTTCCCTTTGGCAACCTATATATCTATGTATCTCTGTATCTATAGGTCTTTTCTGTTTTGTTTCTTCATTGTCTGATTTATTTCACTTAAAATAATACTCTCTAGGTCCACCCATGCTGTCACAAATGGCAAGATTTAATTCCTTTTATTGGTGAACAGTATTTCATTGTGCATATGTACACCACATCTTCTTTATCCATTCATCTACTTATGGATATCTAGGTTGCTTCCATATCTTGGCTATTACTATTAATGCTGCAGTGAACACAGGGGGCATATATCTTATAGAATCAGTGTTTTGGTTTTTTTGGTAAATACCCAGATGTAGAATTGCTGGATTGTATGGCCCCTCTGAGTTTTAATTTTTTTAAAAACAACTTATTTTATTTTGATGAAACAAAGCAGTGGTGGGCAGTGGAAAAAATCATTTCCCCAATAAATTACCAGATACCATAACAGTAATGGGCCTTTTTCCTACACATCAAAGTAAAGGTCTTAGTTACAGAACCCACACACTAGTGGGTTCCAACTTCACTTAGAGAAGCAGCACTCGAAGCAAAGTGCTCACCCACGTTGACATGGAGTGTATGACAGGAGCGTGACACAGAAGACCACAGCTGGGTTCTCGTCGCTCAAAAATAAGTCTTCCCGAAGCACTGCTCTCCGTCTAATTTTTAACTTTTTTGAAGAATCTCTGTTGTGGCTGCAATACTCTACCAGCCCAGCAGTACCCAGGGCTCCCCTTCTCCACATCCCCACCAGCACTTGTTATTTGTTGAATTATTGATAGCTACTCTGACAGGTGTGAGGTGATGTGTCACTGTGATTTTAATGTGCATCTCTCTGCTGATTGAGCATCTTTTCATATGAATGTCCTCTTTGGAGAAGTGTCTATCCATATCCTCTGTTCATTTTTTAATTGAATTGTTTCTTTTTTTGGTGTTAGTTGTCTGTATTTTAGACATTAATTCCTTATTGGCTGTGTCATTGGTGAGCATCTTCTCCCATCCTGCTCTGCTTGGATCTTCATTATACTTTCTAACTCCTGGTTAAGTTCCCCCTCAGCTCTTCTAGTCCACGGTCAGGTTTCTTTGAATTCTTTATCTCTGCTTCCTTAGGGCTTCTTTCTGGAACTGTTTCTTGTTCCTTCATTTGAGAGATGCAGTATTCTTCTGTCTTTTCATTTTGACTTTCTATGTTTGTTTATATGAATTAGACAAAATCGCTCTCTCCCCCCCCCCCCCCCGTCTTGAAAAGCGAGCTTACAGAGAAATCGGCCTCTGGCCAGGCTGTGTGTGCAGGTGGTTTTGCCGGGCAGGTAGGAGCCAATAGGTGCATGAAGCATCTGGGGCACTGATCTGCCGAGCCGGAGTGGCTCTTGGTGAGGAGGCTGGTGCATGTAGTAAGGCCTTGTTGGTCCTACTTGCTCCCACTGTTCAGGGCCTAAATGGGCTCCAGTGATATGTCCCAGGATGCACTGCAGCGACCTTGCAGTCGGGCCCTCGCCCACTAGGTAGAGGTGGAGGGGTGTAAGCCATGGTACTCACAGGCACCTCTGACCTGAGCCCCCACAGTCCCCGGCCTGCTCTGTGCAGCCTCTCCGTGTTTGCTGTACAGAAGGTGGCTCTGTGTAGAAGCCACCTCTCTCTAGGCTTGCTGTGCCCGGGGTTCGGAAAGCCAGCTGGGGCCAGGCAGGGCTGCAGCTGCCCGGAGCTGAGCTGGGGCGGCTCCCTGCAGAGGCAGGTGATGTGGGGAAGCCTGGTAGTTCCTGCTGCTCCCTCCGCCCAGAGGCAGGTGACCTAGCAGGCTGACCACAGCACCCATGCGCTGCCACCCGAAGGAAGCAGAGGGCAGTGTAAACAGTGAAGCTCCCAGGGCTCCTCTGCCTCCCACGGCTCCTCTGCCTCCCGCGGTCTCCCAGCCTCCTCTCCTGGCCTCTTGCTCTCGGTTGCTGTTCAGAAGCCGTGCGTTCAGCCCCTGGGTGTCTCTGTAAGTGTGTGTATCTTGGTTTGCTCGTGGGAGGGCGAGCTCAGTGTCCTCCTATGCTGCCTCCTCCACACGCCGCCTGGCACCTCTGACCGTGTTTTTCATTTCCAACGTTTCAAATTCCTCTTCAAATCTGCCTGTTCTTTTTTCTTAGCAACTTACTCTATTCTTATGCTTTGGGTTCCTCCTTTCATTGCTTCAACTCTTTTAAACAAAGCTATTTCCTATATTCTACTGGGTCCTTCCTGTGTCTGAAGTTCCTTGATGAGCGTTGCCTTATCCGGGGAATCCTGATGCCAGAGGTGCTCCCTTCGGAAAGGTCTCCACGTGCTTCGGCCTGGTTGTCGCCGGCTGGGGTGCTTTTCGTTGCTGTTCATTATGGACTTTCTCAGCTTGGCGCTTCCGGGACCATGTGGGTGGTATGAATGTAAGTCCCATCCATTGTGAGCGCAGGCTTGTGGCTACTCATTCTCAAGAACCTTTTCTGTCTTCTCCTTGGAGTCAGCCAGGATGGGTGCGTTTCCTGGGCTTTTCCCTGGGCTGTGGCCAGATGGTTGTCGGACCTGCTGTTTGTGTAGCTCTGGCTCCCTGCGGGTCCCAGGTCCGGGGCCTCACGGTGGGCACTCCTGCCCACACAGGGAGCTCCAGTCCAGGGGTAGGCACTGCCTGTGCCAGCACTGATCCACGCCCCTAAGTCACCAGGCCCGTCGGCCTCCCCAGCACGGCCGTTCTGTCTATCCCACGTCTGGTCAGCTGTCATCTTTTTCTCCATTAAGATCATAGCTATCATGCAAATCAAGCTTTATGTTAGTGCACATTTCCAGGTGGCAGCGGCCTGGGGTGTTAGGTGACTGCCTCAGCAGTGTTGCCAGCCCCCGATAACAGGCCAGAGGGTCTCTTCGCCCTTCGGCCCCAGTGCTTCTCACTCGTGCTCACTCCTCGGTGGCTGGGCCGCGGCAAGCATGGCCCCGGGCTAGGCCGCCTTGGAGAAGAGGGCCCCGCTCGGTCCTAATCGCGCCCCCGCTGCAGGGCAGGAGCAAGGTGCTTGGAGCGAACGCCGTGCCCAGCGCCTGGTGAGCACCACAGTGACAGCAAACGGCTGTGACGGAAGGAGCCTGGCCAATAGGAACGGAGAGGCTCCCTCCAAGCCCAGGCCCTCCTCCGCTGTCCGCTGTCCGTGTGGTCCCGCAAGCCGCTTACCTTCTGTGCGCCTGTCCCCGCATCTGTGCCATGGTCACAGTGATGCTAATTCCTGGGCCTGTGGGGCCGCTGGTGAGCTTCACATCAGTGGTGAAGAGCACAGGCCCAGAGGTAGCCGGCCTGAATCCCAGCCCTGCTTTCCCGGGGCGAACTCCCCCAGCCTCAGCGTTCTCATCTGTGAAATGAGCGCACTGATGCTGGCACCTCAGCGGCCGCGGTGAGAAAGCAGGCGACTGGGCCGCTTGCTCAGCGTTTCACTGTGACAGCGAGCACGCCTCAGGTGCCGCCAGCGTTATCTGGCATCTCGGGCTTACGCGCTCTCCTGGGCGGCCTCTTCAGCCTTGGAGACCTTCCGGTAGCAGTAGATCATCTCAATGAGCAGCCACAAGGTGAGGAAGACCAGGAGGATGTACATCATGATTTCCGAGACGACGGAGGTGAAGTCCTCTCCGGCTGCAAGAGGAGAGTAAGGCTCAGAGTGCGCCGTCAGCAAACCCAGCCCTGCCATCGGGGGCGGGGTATCAGACCTGCCATCGGGGGCCGGGGTATCAGACCTGCCATTGGGGGCCGGGGTATCAGACCTGCCATTGGGGGCCGGGGTATCAGACCTGCCATCAGGGGCGGGGGTATCAGGCCTGCCATCGGGGGCCGGGGTATCAGACCTGCCATCGGGGGCGGGGTATCAGACCTGCCATCGGGGGCCGGGGTATCAGACCTGCCATCGGGGGCCAGGGTATCAGACCTGCCATCGGGGCGGGGGTATCGGAAGCCTGGTTCTGAGTGTGGCTTATAAGCACTGGGTCTCAAGGAACTCAACAAGTTGTCAAAGGACTGTCCTGTCTGCTTCCTGACCAGCTTTCATCAGATGTCTGGAGGGAGGGGGGAGAGAGGATGGGAGTGGGGGGAGGTAGAGGAGGAGAGAGGGGAGGAGTCCTGGGATCGAGCGGCATACACACAGTGAGGGCCTGGCTTTGCTACTGGCTGGTGTGTGAACAGTCATCTCCCGTATTTGAGACTGTTTGCAAGTGATGGTAATGACTTGCGTGATTCCTTTAACCTAACGTATTTAAGAATATCTGTGACATTTAAATTTCTGCCGATGTAAGTCCTATGTCTGAGTTCAGCCTCATGTCCGTGAGCTTGGAGGGGAGGGTGGTAGCGCCAGGGAGAGAGCACCCGAAGACACGGAGGCCAGTGCAGTGAGCCCGCCGGGGACGGGGTGACCTCTATGGGACCGCCCCGCTCGTCAACCCACACAGAAATGAGCATTGGAGGTTCCTTGTATTAACCACACGTCCTCGAAGCTCTGCTTCTGAGGCACAGACCTGAGCCTGACATTTCCCTGTTTAAACCCTCTCCGCCCCCCACGCCGCCCTCAGAATGGAGCCCAGTTTCTATTAATGTCGCTGGCAGGGCCATGCACAGCCCAGCCTTCTCCTCGCAAAAGCTCTTCTCAAACACACGTGGGCTTTGGGGGCCTGTGGACATTTCTTCTTCCTCTTCACTCTTCCTAGATTGTGTCTCCCACTGCTACCTCCATCCCAGATCCCTCCTGCTGTCCAGTCCCTGGTCCTTCCGGACGCCACGGAGCCCCTCCCTCATGAAACTGCCTCGGCTTCTCCGCAGTCATTCATTCGCCTCCCTCCTGGGACTGTCGGCCATCCCGGCAGCACCTCACTGTAGCCATGCATTTGTCTCCCTCCTCCGCTGACTGTGCTCACTGCGGACAGGTCCTAGTTATTTCTGAACCAGCAGCTGGTTATCTGATCCGGGAATATTCAAAATACTCCGTATTTGCTGAATGAATGAATGTACATGTTGGTCCTCTTTGTTTCGTGACCAATAACACTGAGAATTAAAGCCCACTACATGGCCAGCGTCCCGATACGCACTCCTTCCTGGTGGAAGGAAGGTCGCGGCGTTTCTCGCCTCGCCCGCCAGCGCCCGCCAGCTCGTTAGACTCGTGTCCTCGGTTCTGCACCGCCCGTCACCCTCCAGGCCCCGCTCGTCACCCGCCCAGCAGGGCCCATCGTGACCTGAGCTCCGAGGAGCCGGCCGGCTCCAGGTCACCCCGGGTCCTGCCCGGGTGCAGCCGAGGCCTGGGGCTGCCCGGTGTCTTCTCGGGGGCTTGCTGTGCCGTGTGCGGTGTGCGGTGTGCGCGGCTGAAAGCGCGTGGCCCCTTTAAATGCCGGCGCCCAGAAGCGGCAGCACAGCTGTCCTGTGTCCCCTCCCCGCGACGGGCCTCGATCTGATCTGTCGGCCTACACCAGGGAGTCCAGAGTGAACAAACGGGGAAGCGTCTCCGGGGCCCAGGGGCGAGAAGTGGGGGTGCCCGCGGCAGAGCGAGGGGCTCTGAGCAATCAGCGAGCGTGCGTGTCCGAGGGGGAGGGAGGCGCCGGCCGAGGGGTCACAGAGGAAAAGAGAGAAGCAGGCCGGAAGTGGGGTGGTGGTGGGAGAAAAGACGCCCTGGAATTGGAACCGCCTGACGGGCACAGGTCTGGGCGGCTGCCCGCTTTGGTGCTAATCAGCTCCCCCAAGAGCCTGTTCTGTTCTCCCAGCTGCCCCTCCCATCACAGGACGGAGGAGCGCTCCGCTCCCACAGGCAGCTGCCCGCCCTGCAGCAGGGGTACAGGAGGAAGCCCTGGGTGACCCAACATCCCGAGGGCACCCTGGCTCTGACAACAAACTTGTTTTCCTTCTAGTCTTGCTCAGGCCTTGCTCTGGTGCCCGGCAGGCACTGGCTCAGCTCTGCCATGCTGTCCATTGGCTGCCAGGGGTCTCCGGAGGCCAAGGCCCAGAGCGGGAGGTGGAGACAGACAGAGAGGCCCAGTTCCCGCGTCTGGCAGTCACCAGGCAACAGTTCCCGGGGGTGGACAGTGGAGGGCGCCAGGGAGGACCAGTGTGTACAGAGGACAACCACCTTCTGAACAGGACACCTCCCAGAGCTTCCATCCAACCTTCACTCGCACAGAGGCGCAGGCTGGGAGGGGTCAGGCTGGGGAGGGGGCGGGCTGGGAGGGGTCAGGCTGGGGAGGGGGCGGGCTGGGGGAGGGCACGGGCTGGGGAAGGGGTGGGCTGGGAGGGGTCAGGCTGGGGAGGGGGCGGGCTGGGAGGGGTCAGGCTGGGGAGGGGGCGGGCTGGGGGAGGGCACGGGCTGGGGAAGGGGTGGGCTGGGAGGGGTCAGGCTGGGGAGGGGGCGGGCTGGGAGGGGTCAGGCTGGGGAGGGGGCGGGCTGGGAGGGGTCAGGCTGGGGAGGGGGCGGGCTGGGGGAGGGCGCGGGCTCCTCTCCTCTAGATCCAGGTGGCCGAGGCCCCTTCTGCACTGTGGGAACTGACCTGCCTTTCGTTTTCGTCACGTTGCCTAAACCAGCGGTCGCCAACGGAGGAGACCCGCGGGCCACTGGTTGTCCGTGAGGTCCAAAAGGTTGGCGACCGCTGGTCTAAACAATGGCATCTGTCCTTCGCATTCAAGTTTGCTTCATACGTTTTATCCCAAAACATGACAAAAAAATGCCTGTGCGGCCTGGACGCTGGGAGCCCGGCCTTTGCCAGGGAGAGGCCTGTCTTTCATGGACCTCTTCCTCCTTTCATGCCACCCTCTGGCCTGGTCACCAGGCCGCATGTTGGGGCAGCAGTAATGCTGAGGACGGGGTGGGGAGTGGGAGAGGCTGAGTGAGCCAGTCGCCAGGAGCCTGGGTGAGAAAACAACGGGAGACACACAGGTCGCTCTCCTGAGGGCAGGGCAGGGCCGGGGCCAGGGCCGAGGCGGGCAGAGGGCGCAAACCCCGCAGGAGAAACTCATCCAACGCCCGACCGATTGCAACAGAACATCGGAGTCAGACTGGCGAGGGGACTTCCCACCCTAACGAGGAGGCAGCTGTGGGAAATCTGCAGATTTTACGTAAAAACTCGGGAGCTATCAACGTCTCCCCTTCTCCCAGCGGAGAACGGGCTCTGCGGGGAGGGCTGCTTGAGCAGTTACTGTGCAGGAAGACGGAAGACAACAGCAGCCAGGCCACTGTCCCGCAGCAGCCCTCCCGGCGGGTGCTCCAAGGGAGAGCGCAGCTCCACCCCTGCAGCAGAAGGCTGGGCTGTGGGCCCTGCAGGGGTGCTGGGCTCACTGAGGTTGAGCGCCACTGGTTTGGAGGGTAACTTCTCCAGCCATGAGGCAGGGTCCAGCACGGGGACGGGGGAGGGGGGGAGGTGCGGCTCACTGGGCAGCGAGCGCCTCTCGGAGGCCGTCTCCTTTCTCTCGGGGTGAGAGTCAGGGACTAGGAAGTCGACCTTCTGCTCTCACCCCCACGCCCGGCAGGAAAGGCGGAGGTGAGCTGGCCGGCCGTGCACAGGAGGCGGCCGTGAAAGGAAGACACGTCCGCAGTGACACTGTTAGCAGTCACCGCTCCACAGTCCATGTGTGTGCAAGCCCCTCCCCGCCCTCCCACGGGAGCAGGGACCCTGGAGCCCCCACCGGCCTCACCCTCCTCGGTGACCCGGAGGGGGATCAGCCGCGTGGTCTTCACGAAGGGGCGGTGCGCCTCGAACTCAAACTCCCGGGACACGTTGCAGGTGTAGAGCCCAGAGTCGTTGAGGGTGACGTTGAGCACCGTGATGGACACGTCCTGCAGGTCCTTGCTGCCGTCCCACTGCAGGCGCCCCTGGAAGGGGCTCTCCACCTCCTGGTGGCCGTTGCGATACTCATAGATCTGCGGGGAGAGAAGCAGAGGGTAGGGCCCGAGAGGGACGGGGCAGGAGGGCTGAGGTGGGGCGAGGGGAGGGCAGAAAAGGGGAACATAACCGCAGGCGCAGGAGGAAGGGGGACAATGTGACGAGGAGCCCCGAAGGTGGGGTGGGGTGGGGAGTGTCAGAGGACAGAGCAGGAGAGCTGCCGGGGACGACGGGCCAAGGCAAACAGCTACCCGGACGTATGGACACGGCAGGCCAAGGGGGTGAGTGGAGCACACGGGGACCAGGGGTGAGTTGGGAGGAGCCGAGGCCTGGGAGGAAGTAGAAAGAACAGGAAAGAGTGCGATGTGTCCTGGGCAGCCAGCGAGAGGACAAGTGCAGAGGTCAGGAGAGGCAGGTGTGTGAGTCATGAGGCTCCGGAAAGCCCGGGCCTCGGGCTCAACACTGAGCTGCTCCCACCGAGCCATGCGGGCAGCCTGGCCGGGCCAAGGAGGGGGCCTGGGAGCCAGAATGTCACAGGGAAGCAGGGAGCTGCCAGCTGATGTGCACACACCAGTCTCTCTGCTTTGGGCTGAATTATAAGTGCAATGTGGTCTCTCAAATCCTTGTCTCAAACACCCGCCTCTGACACACCTTTTTCTCTGTGTGGCTGTGCTAGCCATCCTGCTCTCCACTGGCCACGTGCGGCTACTCACCTTAACCCTGAAATCACTAGAGAGCAAATAAAAGTTAAAAGCCGGTGCCTCGAGGCACTGTCCGCATTCAAGCGCTCACTAGCACGCGCCGGCCGCCGGGCAGCAGGGGTCGGGGGCACTGCCACCCTCACAAGGTGCCTGTCCGCATTGCTCTGTTTGCAGCACAATTTTAAGTTTCTTTTCCTCCTTCCGAGCCTCACTCTCTTCGGTTCGGTCAGGCCTGGCAGCAGAGGGGGCAGCTGGCACGGGACCAGGCCCGAGTCCTGGGGGCCTTTGCACCTGGCCAAGCCATCCAGGTTCTTGAACCCCGAGTGGCCTCAGTCCTGGCCGGCCCCGAGCCCAGCGCCGGGAGGTCTGCTGGTCCCACTTCAGGCACCTGACGGGACAAACCTCCACTGGACTGGCACGTGCAGCCTGGACTGAGGAATGAGGCCAACCCCAGGAGGGCAGGCAGAGCGCAGCTGAGACGGGCTCAACCGCGCTGTCACCATCACACAGCTGTGTGCCCGCAGGAACACGGGGTCCTGCAGGAAAGGGGTTCGGAGCTGCTGTCAGGCGTCCTGGCTCAAATAGAAGCTCTTGCTGCCTGAACTTTTTTGAGCCCCGGTTGCCTCATTGACATGATGTATAATTTTTCTTTAGCAAACACTTATGTGGTGCTTCCTATCTTCTAGAACTTCCCTAAATGCATTAAAAATGACAGCTCACGATTCCTGGTAACAGCTCCATGCTGTAGCTCTGGTTTATACCCCATTTAAAGAGGAGTAAACTGAGTCACGGGGAGGGTAAACAATTGTCCAAGGACACACAGAGCTAGTAAGGTGCAGTCAGGGGTCAGACTCAGGCAGCCTGGCTCCAGGGCAGTGCGTGTGCGTGCTGGTCACCCCAAGGCAGCGTTCGAAGTCCATGACAACCGTGTCGGCACTGGTGCCAGCCAATCAGAACTGCCACTGCCGCGCGCGGGAGCAGCCGCACCGGCGCCTGCTCGGTCCTGGGGAGGTTTGGCGGTTCCTGGCGGGGCCATGTGGGAGGTTTGGCACAGCAAGGACCCGCCATAGAGCTATGGAAATACTTCCCCCCAATGGGGCTGCACTGGGCACCAGTGACTCTCAGCCTTGGCCATCCCTGTGATGGTTATTTTACTGGGATTGTGAGTTAAAGGGAGAGAGTGTTAATAGGAGCTCCGAGTTCAATTCAGCCCAAAGCAAAGAGCCTGGTGTGTGCACATCAGCTGGCAGCTCTCTGCGTCCCTGTGACATTTTAACCTCCCAGGCCCCTCCTTGGCCCGGCCAGGCTGCCCGCATGGCTCAGTGGGAGCGGCTCAGAGTGTCGAGCCTGAGGCCCGGGCTTTCCGATGCCTCATGACTGATACGCTGCCTCACCGACGTATCTTACATGATGCTCGGTGCAGAGACCAAGAAAGGAAGTGTTGTGAGTCGTGGAGGCATCGGGAAGCCCGGGCCTCAGGCTCCACACTCTGAGCTGCTCCCCGCTGAGAGGACACGGCCAGACCGCAGGAGCGGGGAGCCCAGGATTCAGTGGTTATCAATCCATCTGCTAGGAGGGTGTAGAAGGGTAAATGAAAACACCTACAGAGTGCCTCGCCAGGTGACTAGCACTCAGTAGGCTTTCAACACCAGTTCTCTCTCCTTCTGCCTCCCCTGCTGTGACCAGGAATGCCTGCGGCTGGCCCAGGACCCGTCCTGCCCAGAGGCGGGGTAAACTGAGGCCGGTTGGTCTCTGCTGAGGAGCCATAGGCGCTTCGGAGAGAAGGAGCCAGTGTCTGTCAGTTCACCCTCCCCCTCCCCCAGGGGCCAGGCACAGGACACAGAGGCCCAGGAGGGGAAGGCGGAGTCGGCAGCCCACATACAAGGAAATCTTTACCGCCCTCGGGCCTGTAGAACCACTCCACCACCGTGGTGGCCTCCACCTCCTCCCTCTTCATGCAGGAGATGCAGCGCAGCTTCATGGCGTTGCCCTGGACGGCCTCCGTCTCCGAGGGCACCTCCACGCACACGGGGGAGCAGACGCCTGAGGGGCGGGGGCGGGGGAGGGGCATGGGAGAGCCAGGAGGGAGGGAGAAGACAGAGAAGGAAGGATGGTGAGATAAGTTGGAAATACCATGTTCACGCATGTATACTGCACCTGTGCTCCGGGGCATGCCTGCTGCACAGGCACGACGGGGCATCGAGGAGGCGTAGTGACCCAGAAGCGACTGAGCGGCTCCCGAAGCAGTGGGATGAGGCAGCACATCCCTGAGCCCTGCCCTCAAAGACGTCTGATCCAGGAGGAGGCAGGGCGGGCACAAACCCAGCACCCCTTCATGCAGCCGGCATCACCGAAGCCGCGCTACGCCAGGCCCACGCTGGCTGAGATACAAAGGCGAACGAACACTAACCGTGCCCTAAAGACGCATGCCCGGCAGGGAGCACACCCCCCTAGCATCGCATCCTTAACCCAGGCCTGGGGAGCGACAGTCCAGTGACTGCTGTTCCCACAGGAGGGGACGCGTCCTGGCGGGCTGGGAGAGGCGAAGGGTGGGGAGCGGTGAGGTATAGACAGAACCCACCTTGCGAAGACCCTGGGTGTCCTTCACACTATGAGGGTCAGAGGTTGCAAAGCCGTGAGAGGTGTAGTTATATCTGTGTTTTAAGAAAAGTGCAGGTAATTCATGTGCATGGCAGCGGCTGGAGCAGCAAGGAGGGAAGTGTGAGTGACTGCCCAGGAGGCCGAGCAGTGCTGTACGCGGAGAAGTAGAGAGACAAGAGGTCAGGTTGTGGGATACTTACAGTTCCCGCCTCTGAACACTCATGGCCATTACAAAAGGCAAGGGTATCTGCCTGCAAATTAGAAGGAGTCAAAAGTGGGAGGTGGCTGCCAACAGGGCACGCGCGGGCGGCATTAACAGACGCGTACTGCACAGAATGGGGGGAAACAGCCCCCCTGCCTGCTCAGAACAGATCCGGACCATGGTATCGGTTCAGGGGTCAGATTCTACAAAAACAGGACGTTCCCTGAGCGCATGCCGGAGGGAGCAAGGTGGGAGAATTCTGAGAGGAACAGAGGCTTATCTTGGACACAGAACTTATCTGTGCTCCAGTATTTGAAGGCTGGTCTGTGGAAGGTGAAATACATTCTGTCCAAAAGTTACAAGAAATTAAGTTTAGCTCAATTTTTTTTAAAAGATAATTTTCTGGCGCAGCAGCTGTTCACAAATGCAGAACAGTATTGGCAAGGGAGCTTGCACGTCACTCAGAGAAGGTTCAAAGTCAGTGACCACGAGGGTTCGTGTGTCAGGAATCCTTCTGATGCTACTTTTTAAAATATGCATGTTTATACTAGAGGATTCGTGCGCCGGTGGGGTCCCTCGGCCCGGCCTGTCGGGCCGAAACTGCTCTCCAACATCCCCCAAGGGGTCCCGGATTGCGAGAGGGCGGTTCTCGGTGACACACCCCAGAATCGGGCTCCCTCCTCTCTAGTTCTGGGTGTGTCACCGAGAACAGCAGCTGCCAAGTCACCACAATTGGGCAGCTCCTGTGCTGAGCATCTGCCCCCTATTGGTCAGTGCACGTCATGCGGACGGGCGGACGGTCACTTAGGCTTTTCTCTATATAGACTGATGTCAGAGAGGAAGGGAGAGGGAGAGACAGAAACATCAATGATGGGCATCATTGACCGGCTGCCTCCTGCACGCCCAGTACGAGGGATCGAGCCCCCAACCTGGGCATGTGCCCTTGACCAGAATCGAACCCAGACCCCTTCTGTCTGTTGGCTAACGCTCTATCCACTGATAGAGCCAAACCAGCCAGAGCTGATGCTACCTTTTAATGAATTAATAGTGAAAACAGAACCCCTAACAATATAAAACACTACACGTCGATATTTGAAAACTAGTCCTCTGAATGGTCAGTCCGTTCCTGTCTGGCAGACGGTCATTTGTAAAAGCGGAGGAGAGCTTTATTTAGAGCTTAAAGTGACACTGGCCAATTAATTTTGAATAAAAAGTGAAATTTTATATTTGACTGACTTAGAAGGCAACACCTTTCATTTTAAACACAGTCTAGATACTAATGGCACTAAGTGAAGTTTAAAATATTAAGGGGCGCCCTAACCGGTTTGGCTCAGTGGATAGAGCGTCGGCCTGCGGACTGAAGGGTCCCAGGTTCGATTCCGGTCAAGGGCATGTACCTTGGTTGCGGGCACATCCCCAGTAGGGAGTGTGCAGGAGGCAGCGGATTGATGTTTCTCTCTCATCGATGTTTCTAACTCTCTATCCCTCTTCCTTGCTCTCTGTAAAAAAATCAATAAAATATACTTAAAAAAATAAAAATAAATAAAAAATAAAATATTAAGGGGCAATAAATGTAATTGGTTTTAAAACTCAAGCAAGCTGGGCTGGTCTTGTCGGGGCGGCAGGGGCGACCTGCCTCTGCGTGCGGGTCACACTTCAGTGGGGGCACAGTTGGGAGACCTGGTCTGCGATGGGTCTGAAGTCTTGATTACGGACCTGGTTAGAAAAAGGAAGGAAGGAAGAGGTGTGGGCTCCACAGGAGTGGCTGAGATGTGGAGAGCGTGCACTCATGTTTAATGAGATGTGGTAAGGATAAGCTAGTGCAGTTCGGATGGCTTCAAAAGCAGAACGGAAAATGTACCAAGGACTGTACAGCCACCATTAGAGAGGCAGGATGAAGATGGTGTTTGGCAACGGACGGTGTTTGATTTACCATTTAACCTCCCTGAGACCCACTTTGCATCTATAAAAGTGCTGAAATTAATATCTACCTAATATATTTTCCATGAAAGTTCTCTGGAATAATTGACACAAGTGTGCTCTGTACAAACGTCGCTGGCCAACGTCCTTTTGTGCTTCATTTAAGTGTTCATTATCCTGCCTGCTGTGTGCCCGGCATTGAGAGTCCAACAGGGAACCTCACAGGAGCCCTCTCTGCCCTCGTGGCGCCAGCGTTAGGGCGGAGAGAGAGAGAAAATAAGCAACTTTAAATCGCCATAAGTGCTGCGGGACAGAATGAAAGAGAACAGAGGAGATAGGGCGTGCGTGTGCTCCTCGGAGACAGCCCCCCGCCCAGAAGGGGGCACTGGAGGAGAGAGATGAGGGCGCGAGCTGTGTGACCACCTGTGTGAAGGCGCCAAACAGAGGGAAGAGCAACTCATCACGGGGGTGGGAGTGCGTTTGTTGGAAGCAAAGAGCACAATGAAGTCCAGGGAGCAAGTGAGGCCAGGAGACAGGGAGGAGAGGGAAGCCAGAGCGCTGGTCTCCTGGCCGTGATCGGAACTTGGGCTTGTGCTTAGGCAGGGGTGGGCAAACTTTTTGACTCGAGGGCCACGATGGGTTCTTAAACTGGACCGGAGGGCCGGAACAAAAGCACGGATGGAGTGTTTGTGTGAACTAATATAAATTCAAAGTAAACATCATTACATAAAAGGGTACGGTCTTTTTTTTTTTAGTTTTATTCATTTCAAACGGCCGGATCCGGCCCGCGGGCCGTAGTTTGCCCACGGCTGGCTTAGAGTGACCTGGGGTTCTGCATGGAGGAATGACATGGTCTGACTTATATGAAATTGCATGCTGTGACTGCGATGTTGAGAATAAACTGAAGAGGTGAGGAAGCACAAGGGTAGGAGCAAAAGTAACAGGTAAGCAGCTGATGGAGTGGTCAGACAGGTGTTCGTCGGGCTTGCCGGATGAGGTGGCATGGAGCTGGGGTGTGAAAAGGAATGACTTGCTGGATGACTGTCCTGGAATAGGGGGAGGTGATGTGCTCTAACGAAAAAGTAGATCAGATGGTCTTAGGAGCACAGTTAATTCATTCATAGAGGAGGAAGGGCAGAATATATGCCATCGGGCTGGTGAATACGAGGTGCAGCCTCTTTTTCCTGTTGCCCTGAGATGACAATAATGCCAGGCATCTTCAGAGAGCAGGCCCCATGACCCCCTTCCCTAGTCAACGTCCAGCTGCCAGGCCGGGAAACGCGCCGAGGTCCTGGACAGCGTCCTGCAAGTGGCCTCCGAGGCCTCTCCCGTCTGCTTGCCCTTCACACTGGGACCTGCTGTCCTCCCTCAGAGGTGAAGTCTGTTTCCCAGCCCGTGGGTCGCCAGAGCACCGCTGCTCTGAAATCCTCTCGCTATCCAGGAACAGGCTGCAGTGGTACAGCGTAGGAATGGCAGGTGCACAGCCATATCGCTGACTGTCAGTAATAACTCGTGGGATACTCTGCATAAATCACTTCACCCATGGCCTCCTTTTCCATTTTCATAGTAATAACATATGAGAAGCAAGAATCTGACATATGAATGATGATCATATTTAACTAAGGAATAGCATCAATTTATTATGAGGTGGGTAGTAATGTATATTGAACAAACTCCTCTAATACGCCCAAATCTTTCTCTTCTTTGGGCATTACTATATTGCTCCTCCGGAGCTTGTTCTAGACAAGCTTTCCTTTGCGATCTATAATCATAAAAGCATAATATGCTAATTAGACCAGACGACCTTCTGGACAAAGCCGGGGCTGTGAGGGAAGCCCGGGTCCCAGGTGCCTGTTGGTGGCCGGAGGGCCAGTGGCCAGAGGAAAGCCCAGGTCCTGGGTGCCAGAGGGAAGCCAGTGCTGGCAGCAGGGGAAGGAAGGCCTACACTTGTATGAATTTCGTGCACTGGGCCTCTAGTAAGATAACAAATGCTTTGGTTGGAATGGAAGTACTTCCCCACAAGAGTGGGGCCTGCTGGGGCCTTTCTTCATTCCGCGCCACCCCCTGGTGATCAGCACACATCATAGCGAGCAATCAAATTCCCCATCTCCCAGTCAAACTCCTGAGGGGACACTTTGCATATTAGCCTTTTATATATATAGACTAGAGGCCCAGTGCACAAAAATTTGTGCACTCGGGGGGTAGGGGGGCCCCTCAGCCCGGCCTATGCCCTATCGCAGTCTGGGACCCCTCAGGGGATGACCACCTGCTGGCTTAGGCCCGCTCCCAGGGGGATTGGGCCTAAGATGGCAATCAGACATCCCTCTGGCAGCCTGGCAGCCCTCGGGGGATGTCCACTTGCCAGCGGGGAGCAGGCCTAAACTGCAGTCGGACATCCTTAGCGCTGCTGAGGAGGCAGGAGAGGCTTCCACCACCACCGCTGTACTGGCAGCCATCAGCCTGGCTTGTGGCTGAGCAGAGCTCCTCCCATGTGAGAGCGCCCTGGCCACGAGAGGGCATCTCCTACATTGAGCGTCTGCCCCCTGGTGGTCAGTGTGTGTCATAGTGACCAGTCATTCCCAGTCCTTCTGCTGTTAGGGTCAGTTTGCATATTACCCTTTTACTATATAGGATAGAGGCCTGGTGCACAGGTGGGGGCCGGCTGGTTTGCCCTGAAGGGTGTCCCGGATCAGGGTGGGGGTCCCGCTTGGGTGCCTGGCCAGCCTGGATGAGGGGATGATGGCTGTCTGCAGCTGGTCACACCCCCTTCAGGGTGGGGGGCCCCACTGGGGTGCCTGGCCAGTCTGGGTGAGGGGCTGAGGGCCGTTTTCAGGCTGGTGGGTGACTGAAGCTCCCAACCTCTCCTTTTTCCTTTTTTTTTATTCTGGGATTTATTTACCTTCTATGGATGTCACTGGAACTGAGAGCCGGCTTTAGCTCTGGGCTCCACTCCAGTTCTGAGACCTCGGCTGCTGAAAGCAGGTATCTGGGTTTGTTTGGCTTCTATAATTGAAACACTGTTGCAGCTCCAGCTCTGAGGCCCAGCTGGCTGAAAGCAGGTTTCTGGGGTTTGTTTAGCTTCTATAATTGCAACATTGTTTCTTAGAGTGCAGCTCAGAGGCTGGCAGCGGCAGGCGGGGAACCTTGGCTTCCTCCATCACTGGAGCAACCAAGCCTCCTGTTCGCTTCAGCTGCCTGGCTGCTGGCCGCCATCTTGGTTGGCAGTTAATTTGCATATCACCCTGATTAGCCAATGGGAAGCGTGTCGGAGGTACGGTTAATTACCATGTTTGTCTATTATTAGATAGGATTATATGCATTATTAAAGGAAATAAGGGGACTTTTTCCAAAATATGCAGAATGTAAAAGAATGGAAAGATTCTTTATATTCATATCTTTTAAAAATATATTTTTATTGATTTCAGAGAGAAAAGGAGAGGGAGCAAGAGATAGAAACATCAATGATAAGAGAGAATCATTGATTGGCTGTCTCCTGCACACCCCACACTGGGGATCGAGCCTGAAACCCGAGAATCGAACCATGACATCCTGGTTCATAGGTTGATGCTCAAACAATGAGCCACTCTGGCCACTCTGGCTGGGCTGTATTCATATTTGCATTGTGTGAACAATCACCTTGGGAAAGAAGACTGTATCTGAGGCGAGTACTCTCCAATACTGAAATTACGTGCAAATAAAATGAAACTTCATTTGTGAAGCCAGGCCCTTTCTCTTCCATTTAATGACCAGGATTCCGGAACCATCTCTCTTTCTCATCTCTCCAGTTTGGTGAACCAATGTTCAGATTACAAATGAACTGAGAAAGAGCAAGGATGTGAAATGTGCACACTTCTTCCACAGGTGGTTTTGGGGGAGTGAGGTGGGGAGAGGGAGGGGCACTCTGCCAATTTTAGTAATATTCTGTGACCATTCCCTGCCATTCCGTTGTAGAGCTGAACGGTATGTCAGATGCCACCGGCACCAACTTCCAAACTTTACATGTGAGGAAGCAGGTGCTGCAGGGCTGCGACATGGCAACCTGGTGGGAGCACTGACTCCCATGTGAACTCTTCAGGTCCTAATCAAAAGGTCTTTGGTCACAGAATGCCTCCCTGTCCACCGGAATGCAGGCAGGGACCCTAACATTTAGATGAGAATTTGGGAAGAAGGCTTTAGCAGCGGTTCTCAACCTGTGGGTCACGACCATTCATCGGAAAACACATATAGCATATCAGATATTTACATGACGATTCATAACAGTAGCAACATTACAGTTATGAAATAGCAACGAAAATAGTTTTATGGTTGGGGGTCACCACAACATGAGGACCTGTATTAAAGGGCCGCGGCATCAGGAAGGTGGAGAACCACTGCTCTAGAGAATCTCACCCCAACTCTTCCCTACAACTTCATTCCCCACGCCCCTCGTCTTGGCCTCCCCTGAGAGAAGCCCAGCTTTAAGTCTCGCAGGAGTGAGATGACTGGCAAGCTATCGGGTCTGCTCCACGTCCAGGTCGGGTCCCCTCTACAGGGGAGGCTGGCAGTGCCCTGTCCTTGGGACTGGCACTCCTTGGGCTGTCATCACTCCCGTCATTCTCCTAGACCAGTGATGTCGAACCTTTTGAGCTCAGCGTGTCAGCATTTTGAAAACCCTAACTTAACTCTGGTGCCGTGTCACATATAGAAATGTTTTGATATTTGCAACCATAGTAAAACAAAGACTTATATTTTTGATATTTATTTTATATATTTAGATGCCATTTAACAAAGAAAAATCAACCCAAAAAATGAGTTCGCGTGTCACCTCTGACACGTGTGTCATAGGTTCGCCATCACTGTCCCAGACTGCCCCGTCAGACACTGTGCTCCCCAGGAAGCTTGGCTCTGCGTCTCTGGTCACAAGCAAAGTCCAGCTAATGCTGCAGTCAGTTAGTCTTGGAGGCTTAACAAAGTGACACTAAGGCAAAACGGAAAGCCCCATTCGCATACCTGCCACAGCTCAGTCACAGTGAGTTTCATGCCAACCCTGGGAGCGTAATTCCACATGCCTATTTCTTTCTTTTTTTAAATAGATTTTTATTGATTTCAGAGAGGAAGGGAGAGGGAGAGAGAGTCAGAAACATCAATGATGAGAGAGAGTCATTGATTGGCTGCCTCCTGCACGCTCCCCACTGGGGATTGAGCCTACAACCCGGGCATGTGCCCTGGACCGGAATCGAACCCAGGACCCTTCAGTCCACAAGTCGACCCTCTATCCACTGAGCCAAACTGGCTAGAGCTCCACGTGCCTATAGGCAGATGGGCACACGCCCTTCTAATCACGCTTTTAGCATGAGGAAGGTAACGAAGATCATGTACAAGCAGTATGTCATCTAAAAAACATCGATTTCCCCTAAGGATCTAATTAGAGAACCAAGGCAGAGATACCCAGAACTATACACCTACCTCACACAGACACACACATCACCCACTCCGTCCTCACCAAGCCATTCAGATATCCATACAAGATGCTCAGACACACACTAGCGCACACATTCACCCACCGAGGCTCACACTGACACACAGCAAAGCGTGCTCTCAGCTACACAGTCAGCTATTTCCATGGAGCCGCGTTAACTCCCCCTTCCACATGCGCACCCCACCCGAATCCCGCTCTGCCATCGCTGCTTAGCCTCACCCTGCAGGGCAAGGGCTCCGTTGTTTGGAGGGAGAACGTCCCCTCAGTCCTCACAGCGAGAAGCGAGAGTGCATGAACCTTTGAAGCAAAATCCCAGCTCCCCAAACACCAAAGCACCTTAGCGCCCATGTTCATGAAAAAAGAGAAAGATGCAATTCTCCGGTGCCAATCTACTTAACACATCGCTGCAAATGACCAAGCCTGTTTTCCTCCCTTTCCTGAGAAGATGTAGCAGACGGGTCAACAACAACAGTATTTTCTGTCTCAAAATGCGTGCATCCAGCTATTTGTAATGTGTAGAAATTCACTCGGAGACCCAATAAGGTTTCCAAGTCACCGCTCACTGAGAAACATTAGCAGCAGCTGAAATTTCTATGACTGCGCTCCCCTTTGGCCAAAAGAGGGGAACACACCTGGGGATCATCAGCAAATGGGAGGGGGTGGGAGAACCACCAAGGCCGGCTTGGGAATAGAGCAACAGGGGGCTGGGGAGGCGTTTTGCCATCTCACAGCCCCAGCTCCATGCAACCCTCAGGTATCCATGTTGTCAGCCATCCCGAGGGAAGCCAGTCGGGCGCCTTTTGGTCACCGGGACATCAACGAGTGTTGCTGTTGTTGGCACTGTTACTGTTCCCCGCATTCCGCACGGCAGGGCGCTGGTACTCACCCCAGAAGACGAGTAGGAAGGAAGCCAGGGGGAGCGCTCCGCGGAAGGCAGGCATCTTCTTAGGTGGTCGCCTCCAGGGCTAAACAGCGACTCCCTCCACAACTGCGCCCTCGCAGACACTTTCGAGGAAACCCTTTGGGACGAACTGCCCCAAGGGGGCGACTTTCTCGCTGAAAGAGTCCAGGCGTCCGCGACCGGAGGCCCAGCGCGACTGCGGGGCCGGGGTTTCCGCTGGAACTGGCCTCGCAGCCGCCTCGACTCCAGGCTGGGGGTCCGGCTCCGCGCGCCCGCCGAGCGCGTGGCGGGGAGCGCGCCCAGCACCACGGACAGCGCCTCCCGCGCGCCCGGACTTGGCTTCCGGCCGCCGCGCCGCGTGCGGGTCCGCTCCTGGGAGAACGCGCAGCTCGGATGAGAGCCGCGCGCTGGCTCTAGGCGGCCGCGCTGTCCGAGGGGACCCCGCCGAGCCACCTCTCACCTCCCTGCGGAGCAGCTACGCTCGGACCAGGATCCGCCAAGACCGGGATCTCCAGCTTCATCCGCGCGGACCCGCCTTTCCAGCTGGGCGTGCCCCGCACCCGCAGCCACCAGGCCGTCTGAGCTGCAAAATCCGTCCCTCCTCCGTGCCCCCCACACCCGCCCTTGCTCTCCGGGGAGGCTGGGAGGACCGGGAGGAGGTGGCAGCTGCTGTTCGCCGGCGCCCTCAGAGGTGGGGTGGGGGTGAAGGGAGGTGGCCCCTTCCGAAGCGCGCCCTGGATCGTGCCGGGCGCGGACCCTGGGCGGCGGGAGACCCGCTACCCTTCTCCAGGGCCCCCGACCGTGTGCGCTGTCGGTCCTGACATGCGCAGGCGGCTCTACACCCCACAGCCACCGAGGACCCACCCCGCGGTGCACACTCCCCACCCCCACGCCGGCGTGCCCCTCCCCGGGCAGCCACTGCGCCAGGAGGGCGGAGCCAGAGCGGCGCAAACACGTCCAGCCCAGCGGTTTCTCCTCCGCGCTGGTCTCCCGGCCTCCGGGTCGCACCTCCACTCCTCTCCCCAGCGCCGCCCCTCCTCCCCACTACCCCTCCATCCAGCCCCCAGTTCACACCCCACCAGCAATCCCACAGACGTCGGCCGGCGGCGCCTGGAAGGGGAGGGCCGACTCTCTCAGGCAATGACGTCACCGCATGCACACCTTACAGGCTCCCTGCTCCTCCCCGACCCCACCCCAGCCCCTCCGGTTCTTCCCTCCCAGCCTTTGTCTAGCCTTGATCCCTAGGCCCCGGGCACACGGGCGCAGAGCGGTAATGGCCGCTGAGGCGTGGGTAGAGATGAGGCCACCTGTGCCCGCTCCCCTCCTCGCCTAGTGAGGCGGGCCAGTGCCCGCGGGCGTGGTTATGAGGCTGGGCAGCCCCGCGTGCTCTGATCGCTTTCCATTCACTCATTCATTCATTCATTCATTCACTCGGTTTAAAAAGTGGATAGACTGTGGTTTGGCTTCTTCCCACTGGGAGCCACGCCCTGCCCTCGCAGCTGTCTGGGTGCCTCTTCCTGTGGCAGGAAAACCGGAGCCTTCCCTTCGGTTATAACCCGTTGACATCGCAGGTTAGGAATGCCTGGACCTGAATGGAAGGTTAATTCGGGAACCTCTCCCTTCTCATCGCCTCCTGCTCCCTTGCAGCTGATATTCCAAAAAAAGAAAGGGAGCAACAGCTGACTGCAAGCGAGCCGAGGCAGGAACTCCCCCGCCTGACCTGTCACGGCGGCAGCGTGTGCCCAAGATAGAACCGCGTCCTGGGCACAGCCACAGGCCATGAACTGCGTTGTTTTCAAGATCAGCCCTTGAGCACAATGTGCTAGACTTGGATGAGAAGTTCAAGTTGATTTAATTCAGCCATTTTTTTCCAATGCAGGAATCCCCCCAAACATTCCCAATGAACAAGCTTGACCTTTCTCAGCGATGAGTTTTCTGCTTCATAAGTCCTTCTTTATATTCAGTTAAATCCTGTACATTCGTCTCTTCACAGCTCCCCAGGCTTTTTTGTTTGGGGCTGAACTTCCTAAGTTTCTTCCCAAGTAATTCCTAGTGGTTTCCTACCCTTACCCACCCAATCATTTTCCCGGAAGATTTTCCGTTTGTCGGCATAATTCTCAAAGTGACATCCCAGACAGGAGCTGACCGGTGTCTGTGTGGTGACCAGCGTAAATCCAAGGGACTTATGGCACCCTTGCTTCAGAGGGTACGTCTCTTCTGGCATCTTTACAGCCACACCTCACTCAGAATGAGATTATGGGCTATTAAAATCCCTAAGTATTTTTCACTCAACCTGTTGCAGTCATTTTGTACCTACACAGGGAATTTTGAAAAAATTAATATGAAATTCTGTACTTGCTGCTGTTAAAATGTATTAGTTTCAACCAATTATCACATCCTGTTAATACTTTTATTGGACCTAGATTAAATCTAACATATCTCTATTCGTTAGCTTTGTTTCACCTCTAGATTTGACAATCACGGATCCAAACATAGATTTTTAAAAATAGGTAGAGAAAAAAGGAAGAGTTCTTTGGCGTGATTTTAGAGACCCCACTCCAGCTTAACAATGAGCTGCAGCTAACTTCTTTGGTATGGCTGCCCAATCGCAAATAAAAACCCAAACATGTCTGCCTCGTTTGACACATTCAGAAACTGTCAAACAAGGAGTGTATGTGAGAGAATTAGCCTTATAACCACCCAGAGAAAAGAAGTGGGATTAATGGTTTGCATTTACATGTAAATAGATTTTCAGCAATGTATTCCAACCATTTCCAAAATGAAGTGAATTTCCTGTTGTTATGTTCAAGCAGCTGTTACCCAAACAATTACTGGGATATTGTGGAAATCAAAAAACCTCTATAGGTTATAAATTTGAAACAGGTTATTGATAAAGTTCCAACCATCTTTGAGATTCTATAATTGAAAGGCTTACCCAAATACATAGAGTTGCATAGAGATATTGTCAGTCTGATAATTCTATAAACCACCACCACCACCACTACCACCATCACTACCACCATGAGAGTTTGCTTAGTTTTACATAATTTATTCTCACTTCTTTCTGTGCTTATCTACACTAATAAAAGAGAAACATGCAAATTAGTCATCACTCCTCTATGCTCACCAGCCAATCAGGATGAGTATGCAAATTAACCCAACAAAGATGGCAGGTTAATTTGCATTGGCAGGCAAGGAATGAAGACTGAAGGCTCTGGCCTGAGCAAAGACTGAAGACTGAAGAGGCTTGGCTTCTCCGCTGCGGCCAGACCAAAGGCCTGAGTCCCAGGTGCCGGAGGAAAACCGGTGCCGGCAGCCAGGGGAAGGAAGGCCTATTGTGTGAATCTTCGTGCAACGGGCCTCTAGTTCCTAATAATTACTATGGTCTTTTATAATATTTACCAGCCCCACTTTGAGGACTTTACAGGAGGTTTTAGGAACAATGAAATTGTCTCTCTTCTATTGAAAATAGGATCATTTGGTGTTCTCCATTTCTGACATTCCTCCTGAGTTTTGGCAGTGACTCTGTCACTTTTGCAAATACCTTCAGTGCCTTGAAATACATTTGCCCTTGGTCTGAGAGTTTTTAACTCATTTAAATTCTTTGCTATTCCTTATTTATTTCTGCCATTTTGGCCTCAATCCTTGCTGGGGTTCTTTTTTTTTTTTTTTTTTTTTTTTTTACTTTTTTCAGTTTGAGGTTCATCTTCCCCTTACTGTTGATCGGTGAAACCATCTATTTTAGTCTCAAAGCAGTAGCCAGAGCTCCCTCTGCATTCTATAAAATCATGCATGTTTCTCACTTAAAGCCCCTTCAATGGCATCTCATTGCCCTTAAATAAGATCTAGACTCCTCACTGTAGCCTAACAAGGCCTGCCCTGAGCCCCGGCTCTCTCTTCACACTCATGTCTACCATTTTGTCTTGTTCAGAATGGTCCAGCCATGCTGATTTTTAAAATGCACCTCAAACGTATTGTTTTTTTCCCATTATAGAGATTTTTTAGCAAATATCCCCCCTGCCCAGAATGTTCTTCATCCTCTGGCTGTTTTCTTGCATGTCGGGCTTGCCTCAAATGCCTTCTTAGAGCGGCACTCCCTGGTTCTCGTTCTACACGAGTTTCCTGCCCACTTTCCCCACCTGACGCTACTCTCTATCTCATTACTCCGTTTCTTGTTTTTCATATCTTCTCTTACTATCTAAAATTATCTTATTTATTTATTTTATTTTTTTAATATATTTTATTGATTTTTTACAGAGAGGAAAGGAGAGGAATAGAGAGTTAGAAACATCGATGAGAGAGAAACATCGATCAGCTGCCTCCTGCACACCTCCTACTGGGGATGTGCCCACAACCAAGGTACAGGCCCTTGACTGGAAACAAACCTGAGACCCCTTCAGTCTGCAGGCCGACGCTCTATCCACTGAGCCAAACCGGTTAGGGCTATTTTATTTATTGATGTGGAACATGCCAGGCCCGCAAGCACTGAAGCAGAGTGCATTGGGATGACAGTTGGCTAGGAGACTTGGTGACCAGGGAATCATTATTGACCGTAAAAGGAGTTTCAGTAGAGGGAAGAGATGGGGCATTACGTAATGGAAAAAGTTAAGAAGTGTTGGTGCAAAACCAGTGGATGTGATTGGTTTGATTATACTTTCAAACATTTGATAGTGGAATAAGAGGAATAGGAAAGTGATGAGAGGAGACGTTAGGATAAGTAGGGTTCTTAGGGAAGGTCATATAAGCAAAGTCTTAAGAGTTAACTCAGAGGAAAGACTTGAGATTCAGGAGAAGGGTGGTAACGAACAGAGACGTCAGTGCCAAAGAGGGCGGAGTGCCTGCCGTGTGCCTGGCATTGTGCTGTTGTAACCATGTCATTACAGAATGTAATTTTTACAAACTTGCAAAAATCATTCCAATTTTTCAAAGTGAAGCTCAGAGAAGTTAAGAAGCTTGCCCATCGCCACAGAGCCATCAAACCCGGGTCTTTCTCTTTTTTCCAACCCAAGTGCATTCTCTTTATTGATTTCAGAGAGGCAGGGAGAGGGAGATAGAAACATCAATGATGAGAGAGAATAATTGATGGGCTGCCTCCTGCACACCCCCTACTGGGGATGGAACCTGCAACCTGGCCATGTGCCCTTGAACAGAATCGAACCTGGGACCCTTCAGTCCGCAGGCCGATGCTCTACCCACTGAGCCAAACCACCCAGAGCAAGAAAATCTCTTAATACTAAACATTCTTTACAATAAAAAGAACCATGGAATTTTATAACCAACAGAGTCAGAATGACAATGTTGAGTAAATATATCCCCTGAGAGTGGATTCTTTGGAGGGTGGCTAAGCTGTAACCTTCCATGTACCTGGCGTTGTGATTAGTACCAGTTAACATGTGGAGCAGTTAGTACCACCTAACTTAATAGTCTGTCAAAGTGAAAGGGAGCGAAGTGATAGTTCTCTCCTTCCCACGTCCCCGCTGGTCCCAGCAGCACCCCCGCAGGGAGAAGAGACCGCAGAGGCCGCACGGCTCCGCTCCTGCCCTCGGCAGGCTGTCCTTCACATTCTTCCCCGGTTGTCCTTCCTGCCGGGTGCTGCCACCCGCACCCTCCGGGGACTGTGCCAGGTTGTACCGCATCAGCTTCATCACCCGGGAACCGTGTTTCTTGGGACGTCCCACTCCCTATGGTTCTCGCTGAGCAGCTACCACAAGGAGGACTTGCGTGAGATTCGGAAGGGCAGAGTGAGCAGCAGCCATTGCTCTCAGAAGTTCTGTCACACAGATAGAGGTGTTGCGGGTCCCAGATTGGTCTTGCTCTTCTCAGCTCGGTGTCCAGCCTGCCATCCAGGCAGCTGGCCC